ATAATTATATAAAAATTGTGGTGACCTTTAACTTTGATGACCTTGAACTTTGTGCCTTTAAACATGACTTTAACTGCAATTAAAACCATGAAAAAGTTTAAAATGACACATGGTATGAAACTTATTTCTTTCTTGAGAAAGATTACAAATATGGTTTGATTTATAAAGAAGAAAATCCATGAACTGTAAGTATATGTGAAATATTTTTATTTTATTTTGACTAACAAACCTACTGTACATAGCATTTAGCATGCACCCACTAATTGTTTTTATTACTTTGTTTATTTATTTTGCATCCTTTGATTTTTAAACCTGTCACATTTCTTATAAACAAAACTTGAGGAAAAAGATAATTACAACTTTTCTCATTTTTGAAAACACTAGTTTGTACTTATATTAGGTTAGCAATTAAGAAATGCACTGCATAGGCTATAAAACATAAAATGCCCACCTTATTTAAATTTTGTCAAAAGAATGGCCTGCATTTTATACTTTGATTAAGAAAATGCATTTCATACTTCTTTAACACTGTACTGGCAAAATAAATTTCAATGGTTAATATTTTTGCTATAAAAGTCAAGGGCAGCAACTCTTTGGCATCTTGTCGAAATTATGTCCCTTCCTGAGGATACTATTGTTCCTTGCACATAGCCAGTTTAGTTTATATTGTATGTCCAGAAAAATGTTATATCATTTAGAACCTGTATGATAGATCTTAAGTGATCACTGTAATAAACTATTTATGTTTTAAAGGCCCATTATGCCTCAGAAAAGATTTTTTTTTATTTCTCATAAGCTTTTTTTTTCTAGTTTGGTGTACTATTACAGTATCCAAAAAGTTATTTTTTTGCCCGTTACCTGAACAATCTATTTTATTTGTGGCTTTTTGGCAATAAGTACAGTAATAGCGAATAAGTATTTTGCATGGAAGTCAAAATACTAGTTTGTTTAAATTTTGCAACTTTTATGACAAATTATTTTACATTTATTGCTACTTCCTTCGGGTAACTAGCACCTTACATTCTCTAAAATCATTTATTTAAATATTATTAAATTCATGTTTGCCAGTAAAATAGAATATTTAAGGAAATATTTTTGTTTCTGAGACATAATGTGCCTTTAAGTCAACTTTTATAGATAAAAAGAAACGTAGTGACAAGCATTGGAATAAATGCCACTTGATTAACATATTTGGTAAAACCTGTATATACAGGTTTGGAAGTTGTTTTTTTAACTTTTGTTAAAGCAGCATGCCTCCAGATTTCACACTTGTTTTTTCATGAAAATTTTGAAAATGTATCTAAAAGTAAAATATTGTTAAGTGATCAAAGATATTAATTTACACATTGCAAACAGTGCTAACATTCCAAGTAAATTACCGAAAAGAGGTTAAAATATGCAAAAATAGTAGAAATATAGTGATAAATATTGCAAAAACAGTCATATACATGTAACTTGTAAATTATTACTTGAAACTTGATTCTTTGTACTTTTCTTAAAAACTTGTACTTTTCTTAAAACATTTTTCTCAAGTTTTATTTTCATAAAATATTTGGCTGATCTGTAGGCATGCAGCTTTAAAATTTTGGTATTTTGGCATGCTTTTCAATATATATATTGCATTTGATAATTTTGGTAGGCTTTGGTATTCAAAGCACTTGTCAGTGTATTTGCACTTTAACATTATTATAAGGTGGTATATAACATGCATCAAATTTAGCTCTTTAAAATGCTTGTGGCCATAATAACTTGCCTGTGCCACAAGGGTAAAAGTCAGGCCAGCTTTAACACATGTGCAGACTGACCTGAGGCTCTATTCTTCAGGTAGCAAGACCTTATTAATTTGATATTACATTTTTGTGGAAAGTTTAGGAAGTAATGGTCAGGTAGGACACAATAAATTGTTTGCTTCTACAGGGTTTAAGGGGCAGGGGTCAAGCTCCATTTGCAAATAAAAGGGTAAGGAACAATCTCCATTTGCAACTTAAAGTGTAAGGGACAAGGTCCTTTTGCAACTTAAAGGATAAGGGACAAGCATTTTTTGCAACTTAAAATGTATGGGACAAGCTCCTTTTGCAACTTTAAAAGGGTAATTGACAAGGTCTTTTTGCATCATAAAGGGTAAGGGACAAGGTCCTTTTGCAACTTAAAGGGTAAGGGACAAGGTTTGCTTATTTATTATAGCATAATATGTGGCTTCTATGTGTGGTTGAATGAATGTCTTGCTTGCCTTTTTGCATGCACATACAAATGTAGCATGATTGCATTTTTCTTTAAAATTTACCTTTAAAACAATTAAGACAAGAATTTAGAAACAAAACAACAATTTGATATTGACTGGTTTTAAAAGCTGTTCAATACAATGACATGGTAATGTTATAATGTTCAAGAACAAACAAATAAGGAAAAAAGATCTTGAGGGCTTTGGCATTTTGAAGTGATTTTGAAATTTAAGTTTGATGTAAAATTTTAAGCTTTAAAGAAACAAACATTGAGGAATATGCACCTTGTTTGAATAAAGCAGTTTCTATATACCACCTTTGTAATACTAACATTTTTGTACAATATATTATTATGAGTTTACATCACCATTTTGTGGTTTAGTAAGCTTTTGTGGCCAGCTGATGTCCTTTGTTCATTATGTAAATCAACAAATTTTCTACTTGATTAGAACATCAGTTAAATATGATTTCTTTGTTGGAGAAACCTGATATCATAATGTTTTATAGAGTGATGGCCCTTGAAGGACAAAACTTAAAAGTTTTATAGAGTTATGGCCCCTGAATGGCAAAAAAAAGTCACATTCGCCTTGTTCATTTTTGTATACTAACTGTATCACCAGTAAATTATTGTTCTTAGAATTTGTATCATCAGTAGATCCTGGTTCCTTTCTTGAAGGAGCCTGAACCCACCATGCCTTATAGAGTAATGGCCCCTGAAACGGAAAAAAATGTTATATTAACAAAAAATGTATAAAAACACTGAACAATAATATTTTTCTTGAATTGGCCAGATTAAGTCAAGGACTCCATAGTTTTGGCTCCTTGTAGTTTACAAAAACTGAAAAGTAATAGATTTTTCTTAAAATGGCCTCACCCAGTCAAGGACTCAAGAGTTATGACACAAGAGTTATGGCTCTTTGTAGAGCCTACACAGATTGCTTTTATTTTTGGAGCATCTTCAACCAAACTCTTACAAAACATTGTACATTCCCATTCTGCCTTGTGATAATAAAATCATAGGTTTCAGGTTATAGTTTGGTCTTTCTTGCATATCTTACCCCAGTGTAAGACAAGTGGCATGTGTTAAATGATGTTATTCCATTGTGCCTTTTACGAATTAATTGCGTTCTTAGGATGATTTCATTTTGTTGTTATGAATGAAATAGTAAATTCATACACTTCTTTAAGAAAAAGAAAATCCGTAAATTCTTTTCAAAATATGATTAATATTTAATATGCATGAAAAATAATTAAAAACACCTGCTGGCTTCACAGACGGGAATATCTAGCTTTCAGGTAACAGTTACCCTCGAGCAAATATTCTGGTCTGTGATGACAGCCTGTGTTTGATCCTTATAAATTACAACAGCAGTTTGATAAATGAGCCGTGTCACGACAAAACCAACATAATGGGTTTGCGACCAGCATGGATCCAGACCAGCCTGCGCATCCGCGCAGTCTGATCAGGATCCATGCTGTTCGCTTACAGACCCTATAACAAGTAGAGAAACTGATAGCGAACAGCATGGATCCTGATCAGACTGCGCTGATGCGCAGGCTGGTCTGGATCCATGCTGGTCGCAAACCCATTATGTTGGTTTTGTCGTGACACGGCTCAAATGGTAGTATCTCTTACCAAACTTGTACAGAACTTGCTTCAAATGTCGGTCTTGGTTTTATTATTGAGCCAACTGTATTACACAATGTTTTCAAGATTTGCGGTTTCTCAAGTGAGCGAAGTATGGCTATTTTGACCCTCTTGTTCATTTTTTGCACAGCTTTATAATTATTAGATTACTAATTTGTTTTATACTAACCGTTTTTATAACACATAATTATATAATGTGTATTTAGTGATTGAAAAAATTAGTTTAGTTTTTTTGTAACCATTGAGAAATCATCTGTACATTGAAATTTCTATGTAGATATTTATTTTTTCTGATTTTGTGGAAAAATTGGTCCCTAAGGAATGGGAATTTTGCCTTGTTTTGAAGAAAAAGCGAAAATTTGTGTGAAAACAATACTCATGATGTTAAGTATTACATTAAAGGAAATTTCAAAATAGGATTGTTATAGGCCGCAGGAAAAATTATAAAAAAATTTTTTGCAGTTTTTTATTTGCAGTTTTTGTTTATAGAGAATTTGGAAGATATTAGAAAATTATATTCTATATTAATTTAAGAGGGAAATAGGGCCAAATTTCATATAAGATTAGATTAAATGACAAAATGAGGTGATTTCTCAGAGAACAATTACCTGCTAACATAGGTTTACTAAACTTTATTGTTTTTCATGATTAACATTTATTATAATGCATTAACTTTTTTTGGAGGCATGTTTTATATATATATAATGAATGCATGCCCTCTTCTGTATTTTTGAAATTTAGATATTTTATATTTACTGATTGACTAATATTACCTTTTTAATTCTAAACCTGCTATACATACATATATAGCTACATTAATATACATAGTTACATTAGTATATTTATTTTGTTAAATCTTAATAAGGATCATAATGTTGAAAATAGTTTGTTGTTTCCTAATATGTTTTTGTAAAAGTAAAATCATATTTATATTATTTCGTTATTTATAATTTAATCTTTACTGCAAATTTTTTTTTTATTATAATTGATTTTTTTAAAGGATTTTATTGAATCTAAAGAAAAAAAGGTGTTACACTAAAATCAACTGAGATAATGAATAAATAAATAAATAAAGAAATAATAAACTGAAAATACCTGTATGATGAAATGATGTTTTCTTATATATACAGAGTCTGAAAGACGCCAGCGTGAACCCCCTGCTGAGATGCGACAGACGAGACCACCCCAAAATAACAGACTACATGGAGAAAGTAAGCTCTTACAATAAATACTTACGGTACACTTTTAAAATATAATGTAAGTTCCTCCATGGCTGAGTCAGGTAAAGGTTGTTAACATTAATTCTGTGACTTGCTGTTTGAATCCTGTTGGTGGATTTTTGATTCTGTCTTTTGAAGAAGCAATCCCTCTAGGTAATGGAAGGAAAATGATTTTGCCAAGGTGCCAACTCATGCCTAAAATAATGCACAAAAGCCAAGGTGCCAACTCATGCCTGAAATAATGCACAAATGCCAAGGTGCCAACTCATGCCTGAAATAATGCACAAAAGCCAAGGTGCCAACTCATGCCTAAAATAATGCACAAATGCCAAGGTGGCCACTCATTCCTGAAATAATGCACAAATGCCAAGGTGCCAACTCATGCCTGAAATAATGCACAAATGCCAAGGTGCCAACTCATGCCTGAAATAATGCACAAATGCCAAGGTGCCTACTCATGCCTGAAATAATGCACAAATGCCAAGGTGCCAACTCAGGCCTGAAATAATGCACAAATGCCAAGGTGCCAACTCAGCCTAAAATAATGCACAAATGCCAAGGTGGCCACTCATTCCTGAAATAATGCACAAAAGCCAAGGTGCCAACTCATGCCTAAAATAATGCACAAATGCCAAGGTGCCAACTCATGCCTGAAATAATGCACAAATGCCAAGGTGCCAACTCATGCCTGAAATAATGCACAAAAGCCAAGGTGCCAACTCATGCCTGAAATAATGCACAAAAGCCAAGGTGCCAACTCATGCCTAAAATAATGCACAAATGTCAAGGTGGCCACTCATTCCTGAAATAATGCACAAATGCCAAGGTGCCAACTCATGCCTGAAATAATGCACAAATGCCAAGGTGTCCACTCATTCTTGAGATAATTCGTGAATGTCAAAGTGCCCACTCATGCTTGAAATAATGCACAAATGTTAAGGTGCCCACTCATACTTGAAATAATGTACAAATGCCAAGGTGCCAACTCATGCCTGAATTAATGCACAAATGCCAAGGTGCCCACTCATACTTGAAATAATGTACAAATGCCAAGGTGCCAACTCATGCCTGAAATAATGCACAAATGCCAAGGTGTCCACTCATGCTTGAAATAATGCACAAATGTTAAGGTGCCCACTCATGCTTGAAATAATGCACAAATGTTAAGGTGCCCACTCATGCCAGAAATAATGCACAAATGTCAAGGTGCCCGCTCATGCTTGAAATAATGCACAAATGTCAAGGTGTCCACTCATGCCTGAAATAATGCACAAATGTCAAGGTGCCCACTCATGCCTGAAATAATGCACAAATGTCAATGTGCCTACTCATGCTTGAAATAATGCACATTAATGTCAAGGTGCCCAGTCATTCTTGAAATAATGCACAAATGCTGAGATGCCCACTGATGCCAGAAATAATGCGCAAATGCCAAGATGCCCACTCATGCCTGAAATAATGCACAATGTGACACTTGAGGTCCTTGATCGTTTCCCATTAAATTTATAGTCACCATTTTGAATATGACCTTGATAATTTTGAAGTGATTAAAAACTCAGTCAAGTCAGAAGATGTAATATTGTAAACCTTGATGACTATTTCAACAGTAGAATTGTTATACTATGTAGGTTGCATCACTGTCCTGTAATTAATTATTACTTTATGTGCTCTTGGCAACAGTTACTATGATAACAATTTACATACCGTTGGCCTAGTGGTTAAGGCGTTCGCCTTCGGATCGGGAGGTGGACGGTTCAAGTCCCATGGGGGGCTTTAATTGAAGGATGAATATTTCTCATGGGACTCGTTCCAAAATGGCCGCTTCGTGAGCTGCGATGTAGTTAAAATGAATGGTTACCGATTAATCTATCCCCCTGGCGCCTGGCATAGTGGTATGAGTTGGGAGGTACATGGTATATCTTAAGTCAGAAATGGCTGGCCCTTTCAGTAGGGGTGACACTATGATAAACAAGACCTTTACCTTTCGTATTATAGAGAGTATGTACTCAGAAGACCTTCATAATGAGCTACGACATAAGATGAACACTAGTGATGACCGGATGAGTCCAAGAGGAAGGGAGGACAGGATGTCCTACGATGAGAGGGCACACCAATCGTCCCCACGCAGACAGAGTGGGGGAAGCCCAAGGAGTCCGTTGGCAAACAGACGCAGCACTAATATTTCCCAATATTCTACAGCAGATGAAGTCAGAGATTGGATTGAAATGAAAGGATTTTCAAGAAGGTTTGGAATAATTTTATTTGTTAGTATATCTCAAAGGAAAGAAAAGTTTTTTGGTTTTTTTTAAAAAAACCGAACATTACAATACTTTTTTTTTATAAATCTTTTTTTTGCAGCCATTTTAAATGCTTTAAATTCAGTGCTTATTGCATTGTGTTTGGGGATTATTGTTGTTTGAACACAATTAGATTTGTATCTAAAATTCAACAATCCAGTTTTTATTAAAGATGTCATGCAGACTATTATTTACACCTTTGACATTAAATGTGTTTTTTAGCCAAATTTACTTAATTTAACTTGTATATTCCTACGCATTTGAACACAAGCCATGCATAATTCTACAACAATGCACCAAGAATTGATATCTATTTCCTAAATAAAATTATTTTAAATCAGATGTATGGATCTCCTGTATGGTTACAATGGGCTTGACCTTTTTGGACTTGACAAACACGAGTTGGAGAGACTTCTGGGAAGGGACGAGGGGCGTCACCTCGACAGTTTGCTCATGGTCCAGAAGAATAATGCTGGGGTAAGTTTATATACATGTTGTCGATGACTTGCTAGTTGAGAACAGATTTAGATACAAAATTCAAATTTGTTGAACCAATTTTTTTTTATCTTTTTTCACTTGGTTGAGTATGAAATCAAACTGTAAAGATCACATTACAACTTCCCAGCTTGACTCAGATCCCCCAAGAATATCCTGACCTATTCTTTAAAATTGATTTTAAACTTCATGATTGCAATGTTAATACATGTATAAATATTACTGTTTAATTTTCTATATTGTAACAGTTTCGGACAAGGGGAGCATCTGAGTTGCGCGCAATATTAGAACGTAGGAAGGAACGGTCTGACACCAACGGTGTACGTGATGATGGTTTTGGCTCACGTCCAAGTTTTATGCCAGAAACACCCCCAGACTACTCGCCACCAGAATCCGAAGGTTTGTGAATTTACCCATATCTTACTGTCGAGTCTGTAAAATGGACTTAACTTGCTATGGATTTAGAACATTTCATTAGTACATTTAGGGGATTCAGTATCAATATACTAAACTTTTTACTATTCGTCAGTATTAGAAAAAAAGAGAAAGTTTTTTGGTCAAGAGTAAATTATCAAAAAAAGAATTCAATTAAGACCATGATTGTCCGTTAACTAACCCAACAAAAAAAAATTGAAAAACAAAATTATGAAGAAAAAAAAAGATTTGGTTTTAATAAAAGATTAAGACCATCCATGATTTATCTGTTAAATGTCTAGTAGGGTACAGTCAGGTCAGACTGCATGGTTGTGCAGACTAGCTTGTCTCAATACAATCGGCATAAAACCAGGGCATTAAGGGCATAAAGGGCTCAACAAGGTTAAGGGGGAGCTGTATTATTTAACTTTAAGACAGATTTTTTTTGTACAATTATTTACATGTTTCATTTTTGCTGATGCCAGTGGAAAACATTTTAAATGTTAAAATTCTATAAGTACAATGTAATTTTCAACAAATCTGTGAGTCCAAGTTGGAAGCAAGTAAATTTATATATTCTCTTTATGTGTGATTTAATTTTTAACAAATTTGTGTAATACCATAAAGAAACATGTTTTAAATAAACATTCAAAACAAAAGTTTGTTTCCAAAATCTTTTCACACCAGCAAAATGTTAATAAAACTTTATTTTTTTAATCATATTTCAGCTTCCTCGGATGATTTCGGAGATGCGGGAAAGACGTTACGTAATCTTTTGGAACGTCAGAGAAAGAAGTTACAACAGGTTGGATACAACGGCCCATACCAGTGATTTCCAGCTTATATAATACCAGTGATTGATGAATCAACTAACCAGTGATGTCCTTATATACTAAACTATTACGTGCTTCCAGTGATTGATTGATCAATATTACAGTATTGATCACTACCAGTAATTGATCAGTGATTGATAGATCAATATAATAATGATGATTTCTTCCGGAAATTGATCAATGATTTGTAAATCATATATATTATTGCTGTCACCTATTAGTGAATGATAAAATGAATAGAATTGAAGTTGTTTAACAGTGAATGATACAGTGATTGATAAATCAATATCAGTACTTCCTTCACCAGTGAGTAATAATAAATCATTGGAACTATGAGTGATGTCCCACATTTGTATTTGTTACATCGGATTTTCCTCTTACAAGTGATTTGTAGATCGGTGTTAGTTAGCGTCCTCTACCAGTGATTGATATTGATTTAAAAGATGATAAACCCTAAAAGTGATTGATAGATCAGTTAATATCCTCTACCAGTGATTGATATTGATTCAACAGTGATAAACCCTACTTATGATTGATAAATCAATAGGAAATACATGTATATATCCTCCAATCAATGACATATAAATAAATATAACACAGTGATTAACAAATTAATATAACTTTGATATCCTGTACCAGTGATTGATATATATCAATGTAAAAATACATGTAGATTTTACCAGACTTATGAATCAATGTAAATTAAATGTCTTTTTTCCAGTGACTTATACTGTATATCAATATAAAAGTGATGTTCAATTCCAGTTACTTACATAAATAATTGTATAAATGATAAGCACTGCAGGTGACCAAATATTTTTAAAAAAATCTTTGTCTTTTTAAATTTAAAACATTTTTTTAAAGGAACTCCACTGAGGTTCAAAAGCCTGAAAAAGTTAATTTGGATTTTGTACATGGATCAGCTGGGGCAATTGAAACAAAAAGATATACAAAAGACAATTAAGAACTACTAAAAAAATAAATTGAAAATCTTATTTTTGTGCCAATTTCTCAACCCGTTTTGAGTTAAAAGAGTTGAGATGTTTTCAATTTTTCGTCATTTTTTCATGATAAGAATAATTATTCTGGAAAAATGCACTTATGATCTGAAATTTTGCACTCAAGCTACATCAAATGGTACACAAATCTTGGAAAAGGATTTCCTGTTCTGTCATGTCAAAAAACCTCAATGGAGTCCCTTTAAATAAATCATGTATGACTGAAGGTGTTATTTTAAAATTGCTCTTACTGTCAAGTTTCATTTTCATAAATTGAAAGTAAGATAAAATTATGTTATATAATTGTATATAATATCCAACTCTTTTCTTATAATACTGTATGTATATGTGATATATTCATGTTTATATTTTTGTTATTTTTACATTAATGCAATGCATTTCTAGCTGGACACTTTTTAGGAAAGTTTAGCTCTGTTTCTACTGTGGTGTAATCTTAGTTAAAGTGACATTATGCCAATCCAAGGGTATATAGTGAGTGAACGGGTGAAGATCAAAATAAGTTTTCATTTCGCCAGAATTCCTTTTAATTTAATACATTGTAATTAAGTTCACATAGACAATAAATAAGGCACATATCGAAACGAAATTTCTGTAAATATCCATTAGAATTTACCTATAACGCTTAGTTTATAAAAAGAGTGGGGCAGTCTTTTTAGATTTTAGGCAAATTTATAATTTTATCCTAAACATTTTCCAATATCAACTGTTGGTCAAACACCATTTTGACAGTCAATCTTTTGAAATATTAAGTCAATTTAGCTCAACTTGACAATGAAAATATGAGCATAATGTCACTTTAAAGGCCCATTTATGCTGATAAATGAATTTATTTATTTTTTCTTCAGAAAAGGGAAGCATGTTTTATAGCCTTTTAATAATAGATTTAGATGTTTGAGGATTATGCGGATCACTTGAAGTAAGAAGCAATAAATGCAAAATTATTTGACAAAAAAGTATTGTTGGAACCCAAATTGCACATTTCTGTTTAATTCCTGGAAAAACTAACATATGTAAAAAATCTCAAATCCAGGGAAAATTCCCGTATAAAAACAATTTAAACTGGGTATACAGTAAAACCCGGGTTTACGAGGATTTGACTAAAAAAGAAATGTAAACAAAGTTTTTTAAAATTTTATACAAAAAATTAACTTATAATGACAAATTAAAAAAAAAACCCCTCTCTTTATGGTCAATGAGTAACTATTTGGAAACTGTTACAGGGCAACAGTAATAGAAATAAATCTTTTCAGAAATCAAAGTTATAATATAATTTTTGGGGCCAAATTGGCTTTTGTGTGAATTTTCGATGCTCATATGTCATTAACCACAGAAGGTACAATGTATCTATTAGAATCTTCACACATGTCATCAGGGCCATAAATAAAGATCTCTTAACAAGAACGATAACCCTAACATTGATTTTCACTAATTGATTCCCCTTTATTAATTTCACAGGAATTATTTAAGTAACAAATACTTAAAGGAAAGTCTGACTCACAGCTCTTGTAATTTTTTATTATCTTTTAATGTTTTTTGTCTTAAATGCAAGAAATATTATGTTATCACATTACGCAGAAGTATAAACAATAAAAAAACATATTTTTTCTAAAAAAAATTTATTTTTTTACTTCATATAGATAATTATATACCTGGACCAAGTTAAATGAATTTTTAATTGTAACTTATAATATTCATCATTTAAGAAAAATAATAAGAACTTAAACCTGCGGGCCAGCCAATACATCGATTTTGAATCCCAGGTTTGACCTATGCTTAATATAGATTTAACAGTACAGTGGATCTACATCACAGTGTTATCCTGGCATAGTAAAATCTACTAAAGTGAAGCACAATTATGAGTATTGTTAAAGAACATATTTTTTCTTATTTTCTACAAAACATAATTATATCCCATGTGGTCATATATCCCATGTGGTCATATATCTTATGAAGTCATATTAGGAACAGAGAGGACATTATCACTCATCTTACATTATATGATTCCCATGTATAGCTTATAAAGTGTTACATATTTACATTTTTTGGCAATAAACAGAATACCTACTGTTATTTATCTTCTGCTTCTTTTATTCCATTGATATAAGTTCATTTTATTTTTTTTACGTCCTTGACAGAAAAATGTTTATTTATTTTTTAAACCCCTTTTTCTGAAACCCCGGGGGAGGTTTGGGGTTTAAAAAAGTTTTCTGGATTTTTTCCCCGGGGGTCTTTTTCCCCATTTCCCTTTCCCCCCTTTTAAAATTTTTTTTTTTCAAAAAAAAATTCTTATTTCCCAACTACATTTTGGGGCCCTTTTTTTGGGGCAATTATTTAGAAAATTTTTCCCCTGTTTAATTTAAAAATGTCATATGGTTCTGACAAAAAAAAAAGTTGCCCCACTGGCCTTAATAAGTAGTGTGGGAAAAAATTAGAAAACACCCCAAAAATTTTCCCCCAAAAGACAGAAAAAAGAAATGTCACTATGACACGATGGAATAAAGGTACCCAGATTTTGGTCTTTTTTTTTCTTAAACCCCACTTTTTGAAAATTTTTTTTGGTTTTTCACCATAGGGTCACATGGTAAACTTCTTTTGTTAACCCCTAAACCCAAATTTAACCATTAATTTTTTCTTTTGGTTAGAATTGTAGGACCATGATGGTCCCTCTAGTTCTAAATCCTTATCTTGTGAACTTCATAACATTAAACATAAGGACCATCATTGCCCTCTATGTAACACAGTGTTACTAACATTAAATCTTGTGAACATTTTTTTCTGATGAACCCTGTACAGCCTTCATGGCTCTTGCTTTGCCTTTCGATGATCCATTCCAAATTAAGTGATTGATATAAATCAAATGATGAGATCCAAGGATGTAACACGATATACTAGTAGATAAATGTTTATAATAATGTACATTTGTAACGTCACTTTTCATAGGAAAGTCATGATGTTTATACAGAGTTATATACACCGCTGCTGTCAGTTTATGAAGAAATTTCTCTTTGTTTTTCAAAAAAGGACGTTTGCTGTATTATTAATTTGTTATAAATATTCCTGACACGTTATATGACCGTATATAAACTGTTGTTTGCAATATTACCCTTGCCACGCGGCTCTGGACTGCTCATATAGGGCCATATAACCGGTCAAAAAAATCTTTATAACTAATCATATATGTACACTAAAAACAAACAAAGCTTTCATATTTTTGTATCATTTTATTCATAAACAATATTTTTCCCCTTTCTGTATCATACAAACTAAAGTATTTGTATTAAAAGGAAAAAAATGTACACAAAAAAGACAAAACTTTCAACATAATTACAAGTAGTACATCCACATTGTTTGAAACTGAATGGACCCTAAAACAAATACCATATCAACTTTTGTTGTTGTTTTTTTTGGTTGTGTTAGATGTCGCACCGACACAGTATATATCATATGGCAACTTTCCAGCTTTTATTGGTGGAGGAAGACCTCAGGTGCCGCACTTGTTATGATTTAATGCACAGACAAGCACCTGCGTAGAACCACCGATGTTCCGTAAGCAAGCTGGAATGCTTTCTCACCTACAGCGGTGGGAATCAAATGGTTTGAATTCAACAACCTTATTATATAACCACTTGGCCATGGACGCCTTTTTCAATTTAATCTAGCTAACACAATATAATACTAGACAGCATTTTTACCTAAGGCCTATCCTACATGTATTATATACATAAAAAAGTTTCTATCCTACAAGATAATGCCATAATAACAAAATATAATAGAATTTTTTTTTATCAGTTAGATATCTTCTATATCACACATCAATGAAATATCACTCACTTGCTATAACTTTATGTATTTTTGAACCAAATATATATAACAGAAAATAAAACAGTACCTTGAAATACAATAAAAATTTGTTTTGTTTTTCATGACACAATCTGCATTTAAGTATTAGAACAAAAACATGTCCTTATGAATCTGTACAAAAAAAATTTAAGCTAAAATTTTTGAAAAACATATCCATAACTATATGCTGTTGTTGTTGTTAGGTTTTAAATCAAGGTCATAATAATTAAATTGAAAGCTCGCACAAAATGTGCCATGGTTCTTTATTACAAACATAAGGGTTAAAATATCACAAATGTCAATCTCTAACCTCACATACAATTATTAATTTTCATATCCAAATTTTGAGCACAAAATGAACCGTAATGTGTTTTAACTCTTACCCTGCCGAATCCGAAGTTAAATCGCCTATGCCAATAGTATAGAGCCAGGCCAGCCTATATATCTATGCAGTCTGACCAGGCTCTATACTGTTGGTAGCTCCATTTATGTATTTTTATATTAAAATCCCCTTAAAATTCAAAAATGGACTGTTCCACATGTTAAGCAGGGCAAGTCCATTACACATATTTAGGAGGTTAACGGTATAGTGAGAAAACCGCGCTTCATGTGTTTCTATTTATAAAAACAATAATGGTATAGTATGAAACCATGCTTCACCTGTTTCTATTTATAGAATCAAGTTTATATCTCCTACATAATAAAGACAGCATTCACATAATAATAGTGAAATAAAAACATAAAAATAATGCCAGGTTTTAATACATGTCAACTTCCGTTTGTTATATCTCGTATACCAGTAAACATCAGAATAATGCAGCAGAACATTTGTATTTACATGAAAAAAATTTACAAAAAAAAGAAAAGAAAAAAGAAAAGCAAAAGAAAAATATTTATACATTAGTCATTACTCTTATCAAAATTTACACCAGTCAACTTCTGTATTATTTACTTTTTTCAATACAATCTAACATGAATTTCAATAAATCAAAAACTCTATTGCATGGTTCTAAGATTAAAAATTTCTTGGAAATCCTGAATCATTTTTATTATTATTTTAAAGAAAAAGAAAGCATTATGGTATCTAAAAAATCGTGAAAATTCAAAAATACTCCTGAAACGTTTACCCAATGAAACTATATCTATACCTCACAACACATTTTGATTTCAAACTTTGCCATTTTTATATGGAATTGTCCTTTGCATATACTTTTCACTTTCTATTTGTACCACAAACCAATCCCAATAACCAATTTCTATTCATAACCAAGAATTATATGGAATACCGTCATCTTCATCCCGTACTCCATTCACCGGATTACACAAATTTTACATGGCATAAAAAAAAGCACTCATATATATAGTTATGCCAAAGTCTACCATGTTATAATTTGGCGATATCCAAAAAATATTAAGCTCTTTTTTTATAAGCTCCTTTAAGCACTTTCAACTTCCTGCACCAAAAACTTGATTTGAATCTTTCTCATTAAAAAAGTGATTTTTTTTTTTCAGTTTTTTTTTTAATCTTAAGTTTTTTTCTTAAACTACATTTAGTGGCACTAAAAAACACCTTTATGTACATGTGTAATGTAAAACATTGTACTTTCATCAATCTGTTTTCCTGTTTTTTTCTCGCTTTGACATCATCACATATTACATTTTCTTCAAATCTTTTCCATAACAGTCCTCTGTTAAACAATATATTCCAAAGTTAAGTATGCGAGTGTTTTTTTTATTAAAATCAATCTTTTTCTGCGAGTCCCTAGTTAATTTCACACATATAATCAAAAATTTAAATCAACACTTTATGCAAATCTGGTCGTAGACATAATCTATTTATAAAATAAATGCACTAGTCACCAGTAGAGTGATTCAACTCGTCACATCTCATATGGAAGGAAAAAAGGCATTCTGGGAGTTTATTGAATATTAGTCACTGAAATCTCCAGTAAAAACGTAACGCAACTTCATCGGTTACTAAAGTCTCCGGTATTGAGTCGTGGGCGTGGACGGTCACCAAAAATGTAGCGATTATCATCGGTAATACTTTGCTGCGCCAAAGCTTGCATACTGGCTGCGATCTGATCCGGCTCCGAGGGCGTCAACTGAAATATATATTTCACATCATCATGACAAAACCAACATAAAGGGTTTGTGACCAGCATGGATCCAGACCAGCCTGCGCATCCACGCAGTCTGATCAGGATCCATGCTGTTCGCGTACAAACTCTATAACAAGTAGATAAACTGATAGCGAACAGCATGGATCCTGATCAGACTGCGCGGATGCTGGTCGCAAACCCATTATTTTGGTTTTGTCATGGCGTGGCTCATATTCCAAATCATGATCAATGGCCATTTCCTATTTTCCTTTATAAATTCATTAATAATTAGCTAATTAACCTAAACATATTGTCACCTTAGTGCAGTAACTGGTTATCTCCTAATAAACTATACAAGGAGTTAACCTGTTACTGCACTAGGCGACAAATTATAGTTTTCAACTGTCATTTTCGACTTTTTCGTTTTGTAAAATATTAAATGATCAAATGCTTCGAAAATTGCAACATGGTTTGAAATATCTACCCAGAGCAATCTTTCTCTTTCAAACATTCAGACATGTCGTACATAAAATATAGAAGTAAACTTTTTTGATTGGACAGGACTTTGTCATCTAAATGAATTAAGCCAATCAATAGATATCTATTTAAAGATATAAGCAAGGTTATAGGTAACCATTTTCAAAAATATACAGTAAAATATGGTAAATCGGTACAAACTCTTAGACTTACATCCTCAGATTCATCCAGGAAGTCAGTATGTTGTTGACGGTTCCAGGTTGGCACGGAGACGGGAACCGACGATGAATACATCATTTCTGGCTTAGACCTTCTTCTTGGTGTATCCTCAACAAATGAATCTGCAAGAAGAAATTTTATGAAAATATAAAACTAGCTGACAGTAAGTATAAACATTCTATCTCAAGAAACTTATAAAATTATGACACCATCAAAACGGAAAATGTTTTTTTTAACATGTATTAGTACAGTTCTATGTTTACATTAAATAAGTCTTTTACATATTTTATTTATAGTTTGTTTTATTTTAGCATTGTTAATTTGGTAAATTTTTATACCTTTTTTTTTACCTGCCATGTTTGATCATGCATATGTTTAAATAATTTATTAATCTGAGTAGGTTCAAGCCTCCTAGCCTCTTCAGATTCTTTTATGTAAGAAAGCTATCCAGTAAGCTTACAGAATGTCAGTGGTTTCACTTGGATGCCTGTTTGTGCCAGTTAAGCTGGAAAGTTGCCATTTAGGGAGCCACTAAAGTCACTTTTACATCTTTAATTTAGTTAGTGCAGTTATAATTGTCCAACATCAAAATAGAAACTGATCAGAATCATATACAGGATCTCAATTAATATTCAAGAGCAGAGAGTTAACTGTTAAGTAAAATTAAATGGGAAGTGCTGGCTGTCTGGTTCTACATAGATACCGAAGTCTTGGCACTAACAACAATAAACAGGTGTGTGGCGGTGTGGCCGAGTGGTTAACTCCTCAGATTGGTAATCTAAGGATTGCTGACTGCGTGGGTTCAAACCCCATTAAGGACAAGCCATTGTTTCCTTGAGCAAGAAACTTTACACTCATTACTAAGTACTGTTTACTTCTGAGAACAGACTCAAGAGTGTTTCAATAAGCTTTTAGCTTCAAACACTATCAAACTAAAATAAATGTCTTATAAACTAAATAAAAAAGTGTTAAACAAACCATCATTATCATCATTATCATCTGAGGAAGAATCCGGGTAGAACGGTTCCTCACTCTCCATACCGTCAAATGAAAATAACGCTGAAATTTATGAGTAAAATGCTAAATATTCTTCATATCATCAACATAAACATAGTTACGCAACATTTAATATATGTATGTGTATATTTCATAACCATTTCACAGTAAAAATTCCATTATTATTAGGTACAGATATATCCTGTTTCCCTTTTTTGTATATATCAGAATTAAGAAGAAACAAAATTTATTTTCTTGTAATGAAATTGTAGCTAGTATTTTATTTCTTTAAATTTAAATAATGCTGTGTTTGTAGAAATTACGCTTAATTCTAAATTAAATTCTAATTCTAAAATCAAGCTATTCATGCTTCAATCTTACTTTCACTTTTAAAGCAAGCTGATTTGATGACGTAAAATGTGACATTATTGTTTCAGTTTGTGCACATACTTGTGTTCAGCTGGCCGATTATGATTATCAGTAATTGGCCCTGGGCAGCAAACTCATAATCGGTCACATGACACTCATAATCAGTTGCAATCCTAGGCAATTTTGTTACTATATATAGTAAACAAGTGTATTAATACTTACGATCATCTGGGTCTTTCTCCATTGTTGGTGGTAAAGACTTCACACGACCCAATGACTTCTAAAACAATTATTCAGAAAACAAAAGCTTGTATGCGCTGTAATTATGATACTAGTACTAAAATAGCAATGAAGAACTATTGGCTTTTAAAAAATATCTGCTACTTACTAAATTATCAAGTAAAAAAGTCTTAAAATGTCCTATTCGGATACTTTCAAATTTTACGAAATTGTAGTAGTGTAAATTAAAACTTTTGTAAATAGTATTTGGATAAAACTTACAAATCTACATAATGGATGGTATAAGAATATGTTTTACAATAAAAAGATTAAAAAAAATGTGCACCTTTTTAGCTGGAGATTTTCTTGCTTCTGTTAACCTTTTGGAAGAATCTAACAAAGAAATAAAAATATGATAGTCACAACTGACATGTAAGGCACAAAATGTAAACTATTTGTAAACTCGACAAATTAAAGGAACTCCACCGAGGTCTAAAATGCTAAATAAACATAAAATTTCAATTCCTTACATACAACAGCTTGCTCGCTTAAAACAAACATTTGGCAAAAGATAATTCATAAATATACACAGAATAAATGGCAAAATCATATTTTAATGCTATTCTTAGCCAGGTGGTTTGAGTGAAAAGCATTGCAAAACTTTTCAATTTTGGGTCATTTTTCACTATAAGAATAATTGTCCTGGGAAAAGGAGTGAATGAATGATCTTAAATTTAGAAAACAAGTTATTGGTTTAAACCTACATCAAATGCAGCATAAATCTCATAAAGTTATTTCCAATCCTGTTATATTAAAATTTTTAAGTGGAGCGCCTTTAAGCTTAATTTTTATCATGTTTAAAGTTGCACCAGTACCGTCAATGTCACATTTACAACTTCCAAGTTTTACTGGTGGAGAAGACCACATGAGTCTGTTGATATTTTCACACATGAGCAAGAACGTAAGTATAACCATCTCCCTTTCACAAACTGGCTCATGACATAATTCAAAATCTTTGACAAACCCAGAGCCAATTATGGGCAAGTTTCTGACATGAATTCAAACCCATAGTCATAAATATCAAGTTTGTTTTTTGTAATCTGAGATCTTTTATCTTTTAGGTTGAAAGTTTCTAAAAGCTAAGATTTGTCTGAAATTTACAATTATTACTACATGTACTACCAAAGTATATGTGGCCAAAATTTATTGACATCCAAAATTGGCAATGAATAGTGATTCGGAACAGAAAATTAGTGAAAACCTTTATTATATTTCTGAAAATGAAACAATGTTTTCCCCCTTACTTTGTGAATATGATTTATCAAGTTTGTTAACTTACCTTTCCGTTGTGTCTCCTCTGTGTTGTTATTCTCAAACTGAGATGATGACAACAACAGACTGTAAATAATAATAACAATGTTATACAATAGTAATAACATGTTCACTCTGTAAACACTAGTACATGTACCAATAACTAATTGATTGCAATGCATGTACTCGTGAAGAATGAATATTAACCTCAAGGTTTTATAAATCGTTTTTCATTAGTTCTGTCTTAAATCTCTTAAATCTTTTGGGATTTTCATTGGTCAGTTTACATTTTGCGCCGTTTTCTTTGCCGATTTCTGACCAATAATATACTTGAGATCAGAGTCTGAACTAGGTAATTTTTTTTATAACCACAGAACGCAGTTTAGCAAGGACTCTGACACAGGCATGAGGTACATTGGACGTATCAATTTTTCGCACAATTATACCTAAATAAACTACCATAAGTCTGCAATTTTCTGCGTTTCTGTTTGTTTATATTGCCTATTTCCGTTTTAAATTTTTTCCAGGGAAGCACTTTTTCCTAAAATATTTGTCTATACTGCCATTATAGAGGCATGCATCTCAACGCAGGCTTACAGATTCTATACCACTTGAAGCCCTGTTTGAGGATAGGTTCAGACAAGTAATGGTAAACTACTAATTATGAGCAAGAAAAAAAAGTATAAAATATAAATTAGATACAGTAACATAATGATATATACCTTATCATCTGTTTCTTTTCCTCTTTCAGCTTTGCCTGTAACTCTTGGAAGGCTTCTTTCTGACTTTCTTCATATGCTCTGAAAGAAAAAATCAGTTATATGAAATTGTAACATGAACCCTTTTTTTTCCCTATTGAACATAGGTTAACCAACAGTGTGTGTTAATATGCAATAAAACAACTGTTGACGTTCTATATTAAGACATGTGACTTATCATTATACAGCTACTAAAAATGTCATGCACTGAAAATAAGTACAGAAACAAATCAGACACAATTTAGCTAAATATCAGGTACAGCAGCATTTATTTGTTGATGTTGTTATATAATCAGGTCAGTTGTCCTGGACAACTCTAGTCAAAAATAATTTGTAGAGCCCTGGTTAAGTAAGCTATTTTTTAAACCTTGGATACGGAAGCATGGTACCGACCTGATTCTCTCCTCTACAGCCGCCTCCTCCTGTATGATAAACTCTGTCAACTGTTTCTGTATGCTGTTTAACGTGGACTGAACATTCTCGTAACTTGAAGACTTAGGGTCTGAAAATTTATCAATAATTTTTTTTCAATTTTTTAGCTATGAAATGTTAAAAGAAATCTAAATTTAATAATAGAATATAGTTGAAACTAGAAATGTGTCCACAGGACAGATGCCCCTCCCCCCACCCCAAACACACACTTTACACTGTAAAAACAGGGTTTATTTCCAAGAGTTGGGCACAGGATGATGTTACATTTGACTGGTGCATTATATTGCCAAAAATTTAATTTAATTATTCACAAACATGCTTCTTTTACAATGAAATTTAAACAAAAAATCAATAATCATTACACAAGATTTAAATCTAAAGCATTGACATTTTACCAGGCTTCACACTGTTCCCTCAATAAACAGACTGGGCAAACCAAGTGTATTATTACACAATATATGCACAGTAAAAGAAAAAGAAATGTTTATAAGTCATGTGATGCCAGAATGACAATTTTTATCATGTATATTGTAACCCAAGCATGTATGGCAGTAAACAGAAAACTGAAACAATTTTCCAGATATCAAACCAGTTTCATATAAATTTAAGAAAATTACTGTAAATTCACAGCTTGAACATGTTGAAATAACACGGGATTATTTTAAGAAGATTAGAGTCACTGGGAAAGAATCACCACATATGGTCTGTAAAGCAAAATGCAGTCTATATTAAGGTTCATTATCCTCTTAAAAACCATTTCTTACAGTTTTGTTCTCGTTCTTATAAAATGAGACGGCATTTTTCTTTCTCTATCTTGAGGGCTGATTGCAAAACTGTTCTTACTCCTTCTTTATTTCATAAAAGTTACTGCAGTTTTGCAGTCAACCCTAGATCTGTAAAATCTGACCGAGTGTGAAGCAGTATGTATGATATTAAGATGTAGGCTTACTTTTAAACAGTTCTGTCCTGGCAAAGTGGAAATCACATGTTTTAGTACAACTTAACTATAATTTTATGCTTGTTTTTGTTGGGTGATGAAATACAGTTCATATTGTGACTTTTTTGGATTTTCTGATGTACTGATATCCTTACTGATAAAGATTATCTTGATGCATATGAAAAATAACTCTTCATGAATTTGGAATAATTGACTGGCATTAGAATATTATTATACTTATTATCATACATATCATAATCATACTTGCTAACAAATTACTTCACAAATCTAAAGTAGTTGTTAATAAATATGTTAGTCTGAAATTAGTCTTTGAATATCTTCTTTTTCAGTAACATTTTCAACTTTGCATATAACTAAAACTTAAATTCATAAATATACTATTAACGAAAAAAATATATTTTAGAATGCAAAATTCTAACAATCAGGGCTCTCAGTAGGGTCAGAATTTCACGAGTCAAAGACTCTTTGGCCAAAATTTTCATGAGTCAAATAATCTTTTTCTAGTGTCATTTGACTACATGAATCATTCTTATGTTACAAAAATTTCTGTTTTTGAGGTCATTTTGTGTAGATTCTCAAGTCTAAATTGATAATATTTAACATGGAAAAAATGCCTTGTTATAATGTACATGTATATATACCCCCCCCCCCCCCCAAAAAAAAAAAGAAGAAAAAAAAGACAACAAAAAACAAATAAATATAAAAAAATGAATAGCATCTTTACTGTGAAAGAATAAATTTAGCAGCAGCTTTTCTGATTAAAAGTTTAAAATATAAAGAAATATCTTTACTGGTATGCTATATTACATATTATAATTAATTTTAAATACCAAAATGTACAAGGAATATTTAATGGAAAATAACAAATGTACAGGCACTCCAAGTTAATCAAAGATGTATAATAAACCTTTAAAACAATCAATAATTGACACCTCAACAGTTGTGTAGAGCTATTTTTAGCGCTGTCAAATTGCATCCAATGATGTCGCGCTTCAGTGCACAGGCTATAAACAATGCTGTGTGTTACACACGGTGACATTTTTCTTAGTGTGATTTGATTATGTGTAGGTAATTAGGTGTGGATTTAAGGTAATTATTATTGCAGAGCTGAAAATCCCACGTGGCAAATTGACTCTTGAGCTAATTTTATCACGTGTCAAATTTGTGCATTTCCTGATTTTCAAGAGTCAAAACCCGGATCCCCGTGTCAATCGAGAGCCCTGAACAATGCGATTTAAAGCGTTCTGCAGTAAAGTAAGATAAATCTTAGATCCAAGAATTGACAAACTAACCTGGCATTGAGCCTAATGCAAGAATTATCAAACTAATCTTGCATTGAGCTTAATGCAAGAATTATCAAACTAACCTGGCATTGAGCCTAATTGAGTATCCTTGTTTTGTAGCACCACATGAAACACCTGTGAATACTCTGCTACATGTTTCAATCTTTCTATGGATGTAGCATCACTCTGTAATCATATTATTACAAGTTTTATTAAAATATTAAAATATATCTATACAGTAATTTAATGCTCCAAAGGATTTTTTTATATAATTTACCTGCCAAAAGCAAAACCCTTAAAAATACATGTACATGTACCTTACTGAAATTTGCTTTTTTTGTAAAAAAATATAATACATTAACATTAAGTGTATTTTTATTGACAGAAAATTCTCCTTTTTCTTCAAAATGATATGAATTTCCATCTGAGGGCCCCAGCCCAAGTCCCCTAAAAGGTAATAAGTGTCCTGCCTCATTATAAACACTGGAAACTTTTTTTGAGACTGCAACAATGTTAAGAGGTATAGTTGGCAAACTTCATAAATTTAAACATAGAAGAAATATGATATTATTTTGGCCTTATATTATTTCTCATTGTTCTTGTTTAAGTGAAATTCAGTTAAACAATAAAGTCATTAGAATATTTTACCACAAAACATCATAAGACTTGAAACACTTCATTATGTTTGTTCCTTATAATTGTATTATAAATTCCATAACTTCCTCAATTTAAATATGTCAATCATTTTTTAACCCTAACCACTCTATATACTGTGAATTCACTTAATTTCGTGGGCATAAAATTTCGTGGTTTTGTCACAAACAACATTTTCAGGATTCTTAAATTTGTGGACTGTTTCTTTTTGCAAAAGGTAAAATGCAAATAATGTGGTGCAAAATAATCTACGTAATGAAATTTTGTTTAGTCTTAAATTTGTGGATTGACCTATCCCAGAAAAACATGAAAATTAGTTCCTCATGAATAATAATTATTTTGCCGAATCTAAAATGTCCATGTTTCAAACCATCGTTTTTAGATGCACTGACTGAATAGCCAACAGGGCAGATTATGAGCAAAAGGCATGATTTTAGTTTGCAATAAATTCTACCATTCCACAATTTTCTAACATTTCATACAAAATGTCTGGAACTTAAAATTTCTTAACTGTTCTACACCCAAAAATATCCACTTAATACAGTAAAGAATGTGCCTTCTGATCAACTTCTACATGGTTCCCTAGTCAGCCAGTATATATTTTGTAATTTTACCTAAAAATGATGATTTGCTTTGTCTCAATTGAAAGACAAACAAGTCCATTTAAGATATTTAACATAGTAGGAGATGGCATTTCACTTATACCTTGATTTTTAACCACTTACAAACTGCAACCTTAATAAAAACACGATTTTTCTTGACAACGTCTTTACACTTTATTAAACTTACCTGCAGGTTATTGTTGGCAACTATCGGAGATCCATTGATGTGCATAGCATAAGCATCCATGCCACAATTGAGACACCGGAAAACCAGATATTGACCGTGTTTCCTACGATGCACTAAGTAACCATGCTCCTGAAATGCATTTCATTTTTGTCCCCATATCAGTATGAAACAATGCTGAAGGATTATCATTTTATATTTTGTTTATAATTGAGCCGTGTCACGACAAAACCAACATAATGGGTTTGCAATCCAGCATGGATCCAGACCAGCCTGCGCATCCGCGCAGTCTGATCAGGATCCATGGTATTCGCTTACCAACCATGCTGTTTGCTGTCAGTTTCTCTACTTGTTATAGGGTTTGTAAGCGAACAGCATGGATGCGCAGGCTGATCTGGATCCATGCTGGTCGTAAATCCATTATGTTGGTTTTGTCATGACACGGCTCATATGAATTTTTTAAGTTTGATAGTGTTTGAAGCAATTAGCTTATTGAAACACTCTTGAATCCGTTCCTGGCACTAACCAGTACTTAGCAATAAGTGTAAAGTTTCTTGATCAAGGAAAAAAAGGCTTGACCCTGATGGGGTTTGAACCTATGCAGCCACCAATCCTTAGATTACTAGTCTGACATGTTATCCACTCTGCCGCTTTTTATATTTCAATTTTGTTTTCCAGATTAAAGCTACCAATACAACACTCCCCTTTTTTCTTAAATGAATGTCTTCAAAAATAAAATTACACCACAAAGCACGGGTTAAAACAATTACATGAACTTAGAAGATTAATGCATGTCATGCTCCAAAAAATACTAGCTTGTAATTCTGCCATCTTTCTAAACCATTGCAACCATATTTTTTTATGTTGGTTTGTACCTGTAACACTTACAATAACTGAATAAGGGTGAAAAATTGGAAAAAAATCAAATTACATTTTGTAACACTTAAAATAAGGGAGAAAATTGGAAAAATTTACTCACAAAATAAAAATTAACATTTTGAATATAAAAAAAAAAATTCTTTTTTTTTCAATATCATTTCTAAGATAACATCGTCTCATAACCAGGTATAAACATATCAAATTTATAATAATAATTATTCTATACCTGTTTTATTCCCTTTGTGTCTAGCTCGACTTCAACTTCCCCTGAGGGAAAGAACCCTGTTGGCATATATTCATCTGTGAGATCTAAAAATAAGTCACAAACTATTTAAGGACATACACTTCAGTAATCTACATGTAAATAACTCTAAATTTACGTCACTTTAATTAACAAACAAAATTCATTGAAGCATAACTGTACATGTTAGATGATTTAGAAATTAGTAATAGTATTATTTTTCTTGCAGAAAAATTCTACTATTATTTATAATTTAGCAAAATTGGTGCTACTTTTCCTGTATAATTTTTGTATTAAAAAAATTCAATATCTTTTTAATTTCATAATAGTTAAGTCCTGTTAACTAACCACAATTTATACAAAACTATAAATAAGAAATGTAATATTTGAAATCTCTTGTTTATGAGGTAAACATCAAGTACATTTAAACTCTGGCTATGTACAAGGTCACTGTAAAACACCAAGCATTTAGCCTAAAAAAAATTAATTTGTTCCCCCTTCCCTACCTACCCAACAAATTTGCCCCTACCCAAAAGATTTTTTCAGGTTCTTATGGGATGAAAGTATTTTATTTCTTTCAGAGTACAATAGGTACAATCTAATCTGATATTTTAGACAGCTAGCAAGTTAATAAATTGTTGCATATGTCAGTTGTGAATATGGTAATGCATGTACATAATTTACTTTTGGCCTTACATAACTAGAAAATAATCTGTTATTTTTACAATTAAAATTTTATTAGTTAAAATGAGCACCATCAAATTTAGTTTCCATTTCCAGTTATTTTCATGTTTAAGAAAACTATTGGATATTTCCTAATTTGAAAAAAAACTTGTCTTTTTATATACATGTATGTACATGTATAATGTTCTGATAAAAAATTGTATGTTTAAATAGATTTGGAAATTTCAGAACATAACTTACTCTGTTCCTTTGCCTGTAGATACTCATTCTCTGTATGTTTTATATAGATCTTGATGTTGAGACATTTACAAGCTAATAATAACATCTGAAATGCAGTAATACGTTTATTAATTAATGACTGTTCTAAATTTACCTCCCATTCCATAATATGCAGATTAACAGAGATCTGCCGAGGACGCGATTTTGCGCCATTGGCGCTAAAAAAATGAGAATGGCGCAGGAAAATCGGCAGCAAAGGGCCATGGGCGCATCTAAAATCTGTGCCAGACTTATAAGAAAACAAAACAGTCTGCTGGGCTATTTAGTCATCCAGTCAAAACTGGTACCAACAGCAACATGTTACCCATGCTCCTGTAATTACGCATATTCTTGAGTTTATCCATTCCCCTATAGCTTTTGTCCATGTTATCTATTTACCGCATTTCTTCTCATAATCCCTTTCCCCGCACAGATACTCATTTCTCCTACCGTAAATTTAATCCAATAAAAACAACAAACAAATTAATACAACTACTTAATATTTAAAATGATTATCGGTAACTGAAAAAAAAATGTTGCTATTTTAGGAAATGCTGTAAGTTACAGTATTAATCTGACAGGTGTTCAACTTGATCAACCCTAAGGTCACTCAAGTTCACGCAAATTTGGCTGATGAAGTGTAAAAAAAAGATGTATATTTCGTCATCAGAATATTTGACAGGGTGATTAACCAATCAGAGAAACATTGTGCATGACTTTTTTCATGATCAAAAGGTCTGTCGGCAAATGTCTTTGATGTATGCTGTCTACACAGAAGCATTCAAGGGGCAATAAAATTCGTCAATATTCAGTGGTAAGGGACATTTGGTGCAAAGTAGGAACAATTAAATGGATAATGCACAATATAAGACATTACAAGTAAGAACCAGCAATTATGTGAATAAATCAAATTTTTGAGCAGCCATTTAAAAAATATTTTGCCTGCAATTAATATTAGTTAGAAAGTTACCATGTAGGCATAATTTTTAATTATTATTATAAGTCATTAAGTGAACCACTTGTCATAAAATATGATTCAAGTTTTATTACCAGGGAAATTCAATTATCTACAAACTTTTTAACAGTTATTTTGGTCAATTGTTACTTATTTTCCCAAGGCCCATACTTTGGTAAAAATGGCCCATCATTTTCAGACCAAGTGGGCCCAGGGCCCAGTACTTTCAAATTCTTGGCAGATCTCTGGATTAAATATAAGATATAAAGACATGCAGACTTTATAAAATACTTGAAGATATGCAGACTTAACATTTATATAACACAGATTTGTTTGGCTTATTTTTATTCCCAATTGAAAATAGTATATTATTTTCCCAATCCACAGGAAAAAAATCTGAATTGAAAGTTACAAATTAAAAATATTGAATAACAAATCATACAATCTTTGAAAATAAGGGCCTCTTCACTGTTATGGTGCTTAAATGTTGGAAGATGCCATCTTAGATAGTGATTCTTTGCAGTCATTTTAATCACTGCAAAATTAAAGTCACACATTTTTCCCAACTTTTCAACAAAACATCGCTGACATTCCCAATTCCATGGGTATGGGTCATATTCCAAAAATCCTTGGGAAAAACCCTGTATATCATATAAAGATATAATATCTGGATTTTACTAAAGAAATATTAATTTCATTTTGATTGGTTTTAATTAAGCTGCACCAACAGTGTGAAGGTGCTTTCAAGCATTCCTGTGCCCTAGAGGAAGGCCTTGGCTGCATCATAATTTTGAACCAGAGTTTTCATCACTACAGCATGGGCTGTTCAAAATTAATTCAATCTAAACCAAGGTATTCCTCTCCTTTAGTAAAATGTAACAAAATTTAAGTGAAGTGCTCCTTTATACTCCTGCAGACATGAATGCTGTTACCAGTACCAGCATTGAAACACCAGCATCCACAAATGTTTAACTTTGTACATAAAGGAAAAATAACATTTGGGAAACAGTGTCAAGAAATCTCCAGGTAAAATCTGCTGCACAGTCTTGTGACACCTTGTGATGTATGGGAAACTTCATGAAATGAAACATCTAAAAACTAACATTATAAGTAGAAGAACAAAGGGTGTCATCTTACTTTTCTGCTAAATCACATAAATATAAGGTGTCCTCCTAAATAATTAAAGGTTTTGTCACTGACATCATAATAGATTAATAAGAAAAAGGAATAAATCGCTGTCTACATGCTTTCCTGCATGAATACATGAAGATTGCATCGATTCACGATTGCATCACATAATCATCAGGTGATATAGTTTAAAACGCAATACTATGTAAATATGACGTTGTCTATTATACCAAAATAAATCTTTGTTAACTTAAATACCTTTCGATAAATTATCTAAAAATATTCCGATGTTGATACTTATAAACAAAACAGCTGATAGAAATGACGTCAGCCGCAAGTTAAAAATCTGGGTCACTTTGGTCTTGGAATTTTTTGATCAATAAATAGCTTTCTGTGGTTTAAAAACGAAAAATGCAACATCATACTTCTATCATATCTTTAAAATGTATTAACAATGTACATTTTTGAGTAAATTTTTTATCAAAAACGGGAAGATCATCGAATAACTTGTTTACCTTTCTTACACAGAATTTTGGACGGTGGCAGTGACCCCACAGTGACCTGAAACATATCAAGTAAAGCTACTAAATTACTGACCGGTATTTAGTTTCGAAAATAATTCTATAAATATCTTTGTTTAGAAAAACACGATTTAATTAACTTTTATTCATATGTCACTCTCGAATACACTTTCTGAAATATATAAGATATGAAAGTCAAGAAAATACTAAATACGAAAGTAATTGCCAAAATATCGGTCAGACGGTTACAATATAAAAAAATCTCCCGGAAATTTCATCCTGACATAATGTTGACGGTCCTTTGTTTACTTGCACACCGCAGATAAAGTGGGCGAGGCGAATTTTTATCAATTTATATCGCATTTTTTAATATTATTAACCAAAAATGGAAAGCAAACTGATCAAGACGTTCACTAGCCATGTAAGCAAGACAAGCCATTAATGTTCATAGTTTTTATATCCCATGATAACTTTTGTAAACTTCTATTCATCACTATGGTAATGATCGACATACTATGCTCATGATTCTCTCCCTATTTCTCACCCCTGATGGTTCTCCCCTAAACTCCCTGACAGTTGTCTCTTAAATTTGAAATATGCAGAAAGTTCTCCACCTAAAAGATTTAATATGAATTTAGGCAAAGCCTATGGAGGGTGAAGTTAAAAAAATTGTTCATTTTTCTGTTTTAGTCAATCAGTATTACATGCTCAGCCTCTGTTTTCACTAGGGACACTCAACGATTATTAGCGAGCTCGACAAGCTGGCCCGAAGGGCCTGCTCGCAAAGCGAGCTTTACGGTAACGCGAGTACCTGTGCTAAGTGATGGTTTTGAAAACTTTCGTCCGAAGTACCGAATAGGACACATCGCAACTTTTCAAATTACAAGATGACAATAAAAGCCGATGTACTCTGATTGAAAACGGAAGCGTAGACTGGTGTCCTGGGCACTTATATAGGAACCATAATAGAAAGGGGGAACCAGAATAAACGGAAGCAGTGTATAAAATACCAAATGGCAATTTTAAAACGGAAAATGTAAAATAAAAATGAACGATTAATTTAAACTATCTTATGATAAAAAAAATTGAGCTTGCTTTGAGGCTTTGCCTTTTTCGAATAATTGAAACTGCTCTGTTTTCGGAAAACCCCGCCTATTATCATTGCGTTACATTGAAAATTGAGCTGGCCAACTGGAACTGACACTGAAAATTTAATTGATAGGTATAGAATTTTATACATCTATTAATTGTTTTTTATTTGCTTTACTTTTAAATACAAATGTTTACACATGTAGTCTATAGCCATGCAAGTCAAAGCCTTTGACTTCCCCATATAAATCTATTTATTTTCATCTTTAATTTATACAATGGAATTTTATATTCTACATTATAATGATTATTTCAATGAATTACGTGAAACATAATTTTATGTTAAAAATGTTTTATATTAATATGAAAACAGCAAAGCCTCAAAGCGAGTTCCATTTACTTTAACCGTGAAATAGAATAAAATAATCATTCATTTTATTTTACATTTTCCGTTTTAAAACTGTCATTCAGTATTTTTATTTTTATACACTGCTTCCGTTTATTCTGGTTCCCTGTCCTATGATGGTTCCTACAAAAGTATGCAGGACACAGTCTACGCATCCCTTTTCAATCAGAATACCTCGGCTTTTATCATTGTCTTGTTATTCGAAAAGTTGTGATGTGTTAATTTCCCACTTCCTATGAAAGTTTTCAAAAACATCACTATCTAGCAGGTACTCACGTTACCGTAAAGCTTGCTTTGAAAGCAGGCCCTTCGGGACAGCTCTTCGAGCTCACTATTATCACTATCAGTCAAGAAAAAAGTATCTATACACTTTGACACAAGAGGGCTTTTGTTTGCCCTATCATTTTCTCAGGAGGGCTTTTGTCCGCCCCATCATTTTCTCAGGAGGGCTTTTGTCTACCTTGTCATTTTTGTCTAGGAGGGCTTTTGTCTGTTTTCTGTTTTTTGAGACAAGGCTTACCATGATACTAACAAAGAGGGACTGTGCATTAATGTTAAATTCAGTATTTCTGTATCATACTTTTAGTTTGATATAAAAGTAGTTTATAGTTTTTGTACAAAATAAATTGAAAATATTCCATTAAATGAGTTTACCATGGTAACAGCATAGTTTTAAGCATTATAGTTATAAATTGAGTTTATTGAATACATAAAATATTTATTAACATCTCAAAAATCTCAATGAATTTTGTTGAATTGAGTATATGACATTAAACTTATGGAGATATTGATCTTAAAGGATAATGTATAAAATTTGAATGTAAAAATATTGAATTTGATTTTAAAATGACGGTCTGCCCTGTTCCAAAACAGACTTCCATGTCATGATTTACAGTCCACCTTGCTACAGTCTGCCCTGTCTCAATTAACAGTCTGCCTAAGTACAGTCTGCTGTGTCTCGATTTATAGTCCATCTTGGTACAGTCTGTCCTTTCTCAATTTACAGTCCTAATCCATACAGTCTGCCCTGTAGATTTACAGTCTGCCCCATCTAAATTAAAAATCTGTCTTGGTATGGTCTGCCCTGTCTTGATTTTAGTCCCACTTAGTACAGTTAGCCCTGTCTGGATTTACAGTCTGCGTCGTCTCATGGTTTGCCAAGTCCTACAATCCAAATTTGCACAGAACTCCAAAACACAATTTTTGCAATGTTTAAACATTTGATTCATATTATTATACATTTATGTTATCACTTCATATATTACACTCTTCTTTTTACAAACTGACAAGTTTTTTTAGTTATTTAGTTAGTTCAGTATGATAAAATACATCAAATGATGTTTTATAGTAATGATAAGTTCTAATTTATTAATTTATTTTTCTTTCATTTATTCTCTTCACTAGTGCCTGAATCAGATAAAATAACCAAATACACAATCATGTAGTTACAGTTCTGTTAAGTTTTTTTTCAGTCTTTACTTTCAATAATTTTCAGCAGATACTCTCAATTATAAGTAAAAAGCAAGGTAATGAACAAAATAATTTTTGATGTATGCATCATTCTCAGAAATATTCACTTCAAACTTCACTATCTATATTGAAATGCATTTCTAAAGGGGAGTTAACCATGTACATGTAATATGTTATTAATTTTTGCTCAGTTATGCCCCTTTTGCAACATAAAATTTCTTGGTTAGCCTTTTGTTTAAGTTTTCATAATACTTTCAAAGGTATTCAATTTAAATCAATCAGATAAAACACAGTTTATGACTTTCTTAGAATTAAAAGCGGCACAAATTGTGGTACTAAACAAAATCTGTGCTTTGATGAATTTCTGAGATTTGAATCATAATGTATCTGTCGTTTAACTTGACGTAGGCCACAAACCTGAGAGGCCTGAGTAACTATTTGGACTTCGGAATTTTCTACTAACATTCCTTATCTACAAGATTTTATAAGAAACAAAATCTTATTTCATGGTAGTAGTAGGCCGATAATGCCCATGTATGTTTTGTAGGAGGGTCTTCATAAAAATTCCAAAATCAAGAACAAGGATTAAGATGGGGCACCTTACAATTGCATATTACGGTACTTGTAAAAAATTGTTTCTTACCTTTATTTTTCAGCACAAAATTTTAAAAACTATATACAAAATCATTAAAATTTACTTTAAAGTTAACATTAAGTAATTCTTTTTTGTGTCGCCTCTATGGAGTAGTGGCGACATATAGGGATCACTTCTCCGTCGTCTGTCTGTCCGTCTGTCTGTCTGTCTGTCCGTCCATCCGTCACAAAACTTGTCCGGACTACCCCTCATAAACTACTGGTGCAATTTCATCCAAACTTTACAGGAATAATCAGTATCAAGTCTAGTTGTGCATATTGTCAGCATTTTCCGGTTCAATGATTTTTGTCAGAGTTATGGCCCTTTAATACTTTTTAATTTTAAAGTTTGTCCGGACTACTTCTCTTATACCACTAATGCAATTTCAATGAAACTTTACAGGATTGATCTGTAGCTCAAGTCCTTGCGCATATTGCAAGGGTTTTCCGGTTGAATGATTTTTGGCCGAGTTATGGCCCTTTGATAAAAAGGTGTTTTTTTCTGTGTGTTGCCAGATACACAATAGCTTGTCCGGACTACTCCTCATAAACTACTGGTGCAATTTCATCCAAACTTTACAGGAATGATCAGTACCAAGTCTAGTTGTGCATATTGTCAGCATTTTCTGGTTCAATGATTTTTGTCAGAGTTATGGCCCTTTAATAATTTTTATTTGTAAAGTTTGTCCGGACTAGTTCTCTTATACCACTTATGCAATTTCAATGAAACTTTACAGGATTGATCTGTAGCTCAAGTCCTTGCGCATATTGCACGGGTTTTCCGGTTGAATGATTTTTGGCTGAGTAATGGCCCTTTGATAAAAAGGTGTTTTTTCTGTGTGTTGCCAGATACGCAAAAGCTTGTCCGGACTACTCCTCATAAGCTACTGGTGCAATTTTATCCAAACTTTACATGATTGATCAGTACCAAGTCTAGTTGTGCACTGTCCATCTGTCTGTCCGTCTGTCACAAAATTTGTCCCAACATGAAATTGGCCATTATGAGGCGACACATGTGATTACTGATCGCTCTTGTATTATGATTGACATTGATTTGTATCTAAATTACGGAAGGGTTGAAGTCAAAGTGATGCTATTCAAAGGGGTTGGGACTGTGGTTGTTAACCCTTAAAGTGCTGGAACCGAAAGCATTAAGCCTTTGCCACCAGTATAGAGCCAGGCCAGCCTGCACATCCGTGCAGTCTGACCAGGCTCTCTACTGTTGGCTGACAAACTTTAAATATTCAAATTGATATCCCTAAAATTGATAATGGACAGTCCCAAAAATGGAAGTGGGACAAGTCTTTTTAAAATATTCAGCATGTTCAGGGTTAATATTGAATGGTACATATTGGCATTTTTTTTCTCAATAGAAATGAAATAAAAAAAATGTTCCCTTATGATTTAATAATAATAATAATAACTTTATTTACAGAAGGTAATATTACACATTAAGACATATACAGATTTGTAACTTATTATTTATACTGCAGGCTTTGTAATAAAATCACATCAGTCAATTTAAAGCTTAGACAACTTTTCAAATTATAATAATTATTATAAAAATAGAAATTTACATGTACATACCTTTTATCATTCTTTTACACGGTGTCAAGGGTATACGCATCATTTTTCCGCGTACCGCCGATAATTTATCATCCTGCGCGCAACACCGTATCATTCTTACACAATCTTCTGAAAAGTGCAAGAGGTCAATTCAAAAATGCCAAAATTTCATACTAATATTGATTTTATTTAGAGAGTTTGCATACATCACGGAAGTTTTGAATGATTCATCTATGTGTTCAAAACATTTTGCAACAATATTTGTTTATTATAACCTGAAACTAATGAAAACACTTTTATACATGTGAAACAATTGTGTTCTTGGTGCGAACATTTTTTTTTTATCCTTTTCCGAAAGTAAAGCTGTCGGAAGAAGTATCATATGTCAAATGATTACAAAAAGCATTGACACGAGCTGATAACATACCAACTTTATACAAATAATGCAAAATAATGTTGTAAAATCAGGAAAACTTTGATATACATGGTACCGCATCGTGTAGAACCATGGCACCGCTTTCTTTTTGCGCGGTAATACTGCATACACATGAAACATGTACTTTAAAATGTGTTTAACCGTTTTTTTTTTGTCTGTTTGTTTTTTGTTTTGTTTTTTTTGGGGGGGGGGGGGGGGGGGGGGGGGGGGGGGGGGGTATTGTTATTTTTTTATGTAGGATTGACAAGAAAAGGTAAATGTTGGTTACCGGTTAGGGTAAGCGGGGCAGTGGATTACCTGGGCCTGGAAGCAATCTGGACGTCTATACTTTTTTTAAAGATAATTTCCTGTTAAAATTCTATGCTTTCGTAGAAGTTGCATTTTATTTCTGTTGTGAAGTTGAACTTTTCTTTGGACTAGGAACTTGCATAATATTTGCAGATATCAGGATTTGAAATGTACTCTCAAGTTTGTTAATACAAAACACAAGCAAGTCAAAGCTCATATTTCTAAAATAGTATTTCTTTTTTACATTTGAATTTTAGTTATTTAACTAATTGACTGGGCACGTAACTTATGCATGTTAATGAATTTAAGAAAGGTGGCAACTATGTATGGTAGCTGATTTGGTACATTGCGCGTTGCATTGTCGATAGCGACGACGCAATCTATATCGTTATCGCCTTTTCGTCTTGTCGCTAGCGACCAATCGCAACTACTCGGCCCTTTCCGTCAGTCTTCGGATAAGGACCTCGAACACAATAGTATGAATACACAGAACGGATGCGGTATTTTGGTCTAACCTACGCTAAGAAACTAAACATGTAAATAATAGTTATTTAATGCTGGGAGTCGATGACAAGTTTATTTCCAATATATGTAGTTACAGTCCACCTAAAACAAGTGAATTCATAGGTACAAAAGCAAACAAAACATTATTTCTATATTTACTAATATGGCTGCAGAAACCGAAAGTACAAAAAAACCAACCTTTTGACATTTAATCGGATTTGTTTAAAATTGAACATCAGTGGGCATATTTAAATTACAAATTGTTGTCAGACATATTTTCAAGCATTAGAGTACCGGAACAGACATTAGATGTCAAATATTTACGTTTGTTTTACATTATTTACATTTGTACACCACGTGGTAGAACTACTTTCAATCCGTATTGTTTCCGAGGTTAATATTATAGATAATAGCCGAGGCAGTTCCGAATGCGCTAGTGACAATACGACAAAGCACCAAACGGTGCGTTGTCGCGCTGTCGTTTTGTTTTCCTGTCTCTAGCGCACCGCGCAAAACGGCACGTTGTCGTGCGGCGTGTTGTCGCGATGTCACATTGTCGCTCGGTTCAAATTGAAGGATTAGCTTATAAGCCAGCGACAGGGCGACATCGCGCCGTACGACAACGCACAGTTTGGCGTGCCACGCTAGATACAGAACCACAAGACGACAGCACGCCGTTTGTCGCATTGTCGTGTTGTCGCTAGCGCCAACTAGACGCGCAAAAGCGTACCAAATCAGTCACCATAATGTGCTTGAGTTATCCTCCCTGTATTATTATACGACTATAATCCCCCACCAGCAGAGCTATTCAAAAAGTGTATTCTTACGTCTGTAAGATATGGTGGCTGATTTGGTACATTGCGCGTTGCATTGTCGATAGCACCTTTTCGTCTTGTTGCTAGCGACAACACGACAAAGCCCCAAATGGCGCGTTGTCGCGCTCTTGTCTTGTCGTCCTGTCTCTAGCGAAGCGCTAGCCAAAAGGCGCGTTGTCGGATTTTTGTCTTGTCCTGTCGCTAACAATGTACGCCAAACGGCGCGTTGTCATACAGCGTGTCATGCGGCGTGTTGTCGCGATGTCACCCTGTCCCTTGGCTTATATTAAGCCAATACTTCGATTTGAACCGAGCGACAATATGACATCGCGACAACATGCCGCACGACAAAGCGCCGTTTGGCGTACATTGTTAGCGACAAGACAAGACGAAAATCTGACAACGCGCCGTTTGGCTAGCGCTAACGCGACGCACAAAAATGTTCCAAATCAGCCACAATAGTAAGTAAAAACACTTTTAGATAACCGTTACTTTCCACATGGATTTAGTGCAGTTGAAATAAACGTGTCCTTCTTGGGACAAATGAAGGACTGCTATTGCCATGCTCGATTTTTTTCTTAAAGTTTTGTCCGCCTTTCTGTATTCAAGATTTTACATTCTCACAAAATACTTTTCGAGCCATTCAACATTGAATTTGTCGAATAGTTGAACTTAAACAAGAGATTTAGTCAATCTTAACAGGCGATATTTAACTGCCTCAAGAAACCGATGGAAAGTAGTACGCGCATCTCATGAGAATATCCAGTTTATCGAGAAATTGGATGGCCATTTCCAGAACCAAAGTAACTGTTGATTTTAGCATTGACAAAACTAACAGTTGTTCGTTGGAAGATGGTACAACACTTAGTTTTTTTTTAAACTTAGTTTTTTTTGTATATCGTCTGACATTCTATAAAAAAAACAACATTAACTTGACATTTACTGTACCCACCACCCGACACACACAAAAAATCAACTGCCATAAACGGCTTAAGGTAAATATGTGAATTGGGGTCCAAAACGTAATCCATACAACATTGACACAAAACAAGTTAGAGACGATTTCAATGTTGACTGACATAATCAATTTTAGTAAATTTGACATTCATTTAATTGATGACAGGCTTTGACAGTCATTTAAACATTGTTTATCATAAATGAAAGTGAATTATGTCTAATTATTGACTAAGTGCACAAAAGTTCCGTGCGAATACAATTTACCTACAACTTTCACTGCCCAAAGCTTTAAGGCCTTGCAAATATTTTCTATAGTTTTATATTTTCAACGTGAACATACATAGATCTATTTATAATTAAATATGTTTATAACTATATCGGTTCTTTACAATTAAACGTCTTATAAAATAGATAAAAACAGAATCCCTAAAGAAAGCCCAACACGGCAAAATTGAAAATGTTGCAGACTCGGTTTGATTGAGCCTGTTCATGGACGGTACTGGAAAGTGCAAGTTACCGTCCACGCCCCATAGCACCGGCTTAAGCAGAATTCAACATTTAAACATGAAATGGTAAAATTTTGAATTTAGAAACATCCGCAGATGTGTTCATACGGCGATTATCATGGAACCTTCAGTGTGACACTTCCGTGCCATTCCATGAAAAGCGGCGTATGGTCCCCAAGTAATAAAAAGCGTGTGCCCTAAACGAGAAAACAATGGGTGGAACTAAATAAAATGGAATTTTGAAAGGGGATCAGAGTTATGAAGCCTGCGTATCACAGATAAGACGTCAAAAGACAAATTTAAAAAGCAGGCAACACATCCTAAGGGTGATTCAACATTATTCAAGTAGGAATATTGGAACCAACCAACTAGAAAATGCCGAAAAATTGAAACTAAAATACCACAAGCACAACAATAATGTCGTGCTGAACGATCTTCACGGATCGAAAATATAATATCATTGATTAAATATACGGGGAGACTTTTTACAGCCGCCAGATACAGATACAGTTACTCGTATTTACTTCAAAATTGTCTTCTTATGTCTGTAAGAAGACACTTTTGAAGTAAAACTCGTACTGTATCCATTACATATTTGTGTCGGCATGCTTGTATTTCTCCTTGTAGTTCCAGTTATTGATAGACTATTATAAAACTTATAGATAACTTTAACCACAACAATTTAAGATTCTTGCTCAAGGAAACATGGCGCCTCGACAAGCGATGCCAGAATTCCAAGTCCGCCGTTTCAGTCTAGAAGTCTCGGCTTCGATTCCTTACTCTTCCAATGTATTTACTCAAATTCTTTAGTTATAACAATATTTTATTTATGAACATTTCATTTACATGATAATTGACAAATATTAAATTGCACGGATTGAGTAGGAAGCTTGAATTTTTTTTAGAAACTCTCTCCGTAAGCACTATCTCAAAGAGTATGTATAAAATGGTAACAATTATATATGCATATTTGTGTTAAATATACATAACATTTTCACTATAAACTTGCTTCTTTACATGCATAATAAAGTCAGCAATTTCCACTCAGGTTGTCCTAATCGAACCGATCTTAATAATAAAGTAAAGACTCAGATTCGTTCGAATGTGACCGTGGTCCCATGTGTTTACGCCGGACACACAAAGAATCAGGTTTCCTTCTAGAACTATGACTATAGTATTTATGCATTTTCCTTCGGTTTGTAAATAATTAATATACATCTACATGATTTGCCCAAATGGTCAACAATAAATAAATACAAATAAGATTATTCACCATTAGGTTAATCATAATGATGCGGTGCAAGTCTAGCGCTAATGTATACGGTGCCACAATTTTCGGTGCGGACCCATGATGCGGTACCAAGAACTCGGTCAGTTGTCACGCTTTTATGACTTTTTTTAAGAAATTAAACAGCTTAAACTTGTGTGCAATATTTTTTTTGTATACACATCTTTGATGCTTACAGTTATATCAAATATATATTATGATTGACAACATAATTATCTCCTTTTGAAAGTTTTCCAAATGATCATTTTCCCCAAGCCAGCTCTAGCTGTGTTCATTGAAACAAAGAAATCGTAAAAGTCTTTGATAAAAACTAGGTAAAGACATAAGCTTCAAAGATCATAATATTCCGTAGACACACTTTTATGAATACACTTACTTCAAAAATGTGACTTTTAGGTCGTTTTCCATCATGCATGTTGTGTTTCAGTGTTTGTTTTGTCCAAAATGATACGGTGCTGCACGCAGGATGATAAATTATCGACGGTACGCGGAAAAATTATGCGTATACCCTTGACACCGTGTTTTATCCCATCATTTAATCAGGATCTAGCAAAAACATATCCAATTATATTTCTGTTATATGTTTGAACAGACGATTGTAAAAGATAAATGCCTATTGTAACTGGGCAAATTATCTGACCTGCATGTTGATATGCAACAATATGACTGTAAGATAACACAGTTTGAGTTTAGATAACATCCGGACATTTCCACACAGAAATTCCTTTAAAGTCTAATTCATAATCTGTAAAGTACAGTTTTTGTTTGTATCAAATGACAACTTTATCTAAACTGTAGCCTGTATAACTTTAAGTTTTGTTCATCTGCAAAAGAAACTTTATCAACAAGCGTTATCAGTAGTAGAAAATTTAAGTTTGGGATTTCTGCAACATCAGTGTGCACACATCGTTTTTATATATATATAAATTTGTGTTGTGATTTAGTTTTCATTTTTGACAAAATGGAAGTTACCACTACTCAGATGGAATTTGATCAAAAGGTAGAAAATATTTTATTAAGGAAAACATGTTTTAAATTAAGGTGTTTGCCCACAGTCACCCCAACTGAATTGTTGTTATGTAGGGAATTTCTTCATTACTTTTGACTTATTAAATGAATAGATAAGTATAATTTGAGATTTCAAGAGTATTCCAGATTTCATAAGTATTCCAGATTTCAGGATTATTCCAGATTTCAGGATTATTCCAGATTTCATAAGTATTCCAGATTCAAGATTATTCCAGATTTCAAGAGTATTCCAGATTTCATAAATATTCCAAATTTCAGGATTATTCCAGATTTTCAGAATAATTTGAGATTTCAAGAGTATTCCAGATTTCATAAGAATTCCAGATTTCAGGATTATTTCAGATTTCATAAATATTCCAGATTTCAAGAGTATTCCAGATTTCAGGATTATTCCAGATTTCAGGATTATTCCAGATTTTAAGATTATTCCAGATTTCAGGATTATTCCAGATTTTAAGATTATTCCAGATTTCAGGATTATTCCAGATTTCAGGAGTTTTCTACATTTCAGAGATCCAAAGCCATTTTGTTTAACATAAAATATGAAACAAAAATTGCTCAAAACAGGTTTTTATAGCTTCTTTTTTTTTTTGCCCCCATTTAGTAGTGAAGAGAGTGGGGGATGGTCGGGAAAATATATTTGCTAAGAACAAAAGAACAATTTGTTACCTGACTAGACAAGCATACTTTTACCTTCAAACCCACAATAACGTACCCTCATCCCTGCACAGCTGTACCCGAAATGTCCTGACTCTATGGTTGTAATATAAGTTCTAATTTTCCTTTTCAGGTAAATGAGTTGATTACATCAGAACAGGAGAGGGATCATTTGTTTGATGCTTTAAAGAAATACCAAACGTAAGTATATGTATATTATTTTTGTTTTAATTTTGAATTTGATGCAGAAATCCGTGGGATTGCTTATAAATTTACCATAAATATTTGCTCTGAAGCGTAGAAGTGTAGAATATTATTACAGTTGAATGCATAACATTATAGCTTAATACATCCAACTGGTTTTTATTACAGAAAACTAAAGAAATAAAGGAAATATCGAAAATGTTTAATCTATTGCATGTGAAAATCAAGAAAGTTAATGTTCCTTATTGATTAGAAGAAAATGAGCTTTAAGAAAAAAACAACATATTAATTTGATTTTCATTTGATTAAGTATTATAATCTAAAGACTATAATGAACTGTATGATATGGTCAGAAAAGGAGAGCCTGATTCGTCGGATACCCATGGTTGATTAAACATGTTAATGGTTCAGCCGTGGGTATCTGAGATGGTAAGGAGAGCAAATGAAAGCAAGGAAAGCAAAAACTTAATTCAGTGACATTTAGTTCCTCAAACTTCCAATTATTGGCCTGATATATATTATGTAGGAACCACTATAATTATATAAATTTTGTAAATATATCTGGGATTTTGTGTGACACTTCAAAATTTACAGCATGTAAAATTTAACACATATGTGGGGTATTTTCAAAACGTCAGATAAAAACTGATATTAAAAAAAGTAGCAGACGCAAAGTTGAAGAACAGGTAATAAAATTGTAATTTTGGGTTTTTCAGGTCGTCTGATGTTATCAAACTTGTGAGTGATCTGAAGCGACTTATCAACGAGCCAACAAAATTAGAGATTTATGATACAATAAGGTTTGTGTAACCATACCCTGCTAAATCTTTCACAACACACATTTTTTGTGCTTTGGATTTGATTTTGATGACAATAGTTGTTGAATTTAATCCCCCACTGTGAAGATTTTATATCTTCAAATGAAGTGCACTTATTTCATTTATGATTTGGCCAGATTATAAATGAGCCGTGTCATGACAAAACCAACATAATGGGTGCAGTCTGATCAGGATCCATGCTGTTCGCTATCAGTTTCTCTACTTGTAATAAGGTTTGTAAGCGAACAGAATGGACCTTGATTAGACTGCGCTGATGCGCAGGCTGGTCTGGATCCATGCTGGTCGCAAACCCATTATGTTGGTTTTGTCATGACACGACTCAAATGCTTTAGGTGCTTTATCTAGTGTCTGAAAATTAGAACTCTTTGACTTGTTTACTTCTCATGGTCATATAGGCTTTACATGTAGGTTGCATGATTTATTTTTAAAAAATCTGGTTAAAATTATTCATCAACATAATTTGTTAAGATTTTCAAAGACTCCTAAAAATACACAATTGCTCAATTGAATCTATTGAAGTTTCTAGAAGAGTTCATGCTCATTGAAGAACACTCCACACCTTACCCCTAAATGATTCACAGCCCATGCCTAACCCCTAAATGAGTACCAACCCATGCCTAACAACTAAATGAGTAGCAACCCATGCCTATCCCCTAAATGAATAAAACCCCACGCCTGAAGTGTCTTAGTGCCGATCAACAAGTACCAGTATCACTGATTTAGCCAGTGTCAGATGTAGGCCGGTGTCAGGTGTAGGCCAGTTTCGGATGTAAGCCAGTGTCAGATGTAGGCCAGTATCAGATGTAGGCCAGTTTCATATGTAGGCCAGTGTCAGATGTAGGCCAGTGTCAGATGTAGACCAGTGGCAGATGTAGACCAGTATCAGATATAGGCCAGTATTAGATGTAGGCCAGTGTCAGATGTAGGCAAGTGTCAGATGTAGGCCAGTGTCTGATGTAGGCCAGTGTCAGATGTAGGCCAGTGTATGATGTAGGCCAGTGTCTGATGTAGGCCAGTGTCTGATGTAGGCCAGTGTCTGATGTAGGCCAGTGTCTGATGTAGGCCAGTGTCAGATGTAGGCCAGTATCAGATGTAGGCCAGTGTCAGATGTAGGCAAGTGTCAGATGTAGGCCAGTGTCAGATGTAGGCCAGTGTCAGATGTAGGCCAGTGTCTGATGTAGGCCAGTGTCTGATGTAGGCCAGTGTATGATGTAGGCCAGTGTCTGATGTAGGCCAGTGTCTGATGTAGGCCAGTGTCTGATGTAGGCCAGTGTCAGATGTAGGCCAGTGTCAGATGTAAGCCAGTGTAAGATATAGGCCAGTGTCTGATGTAGGCCAGTGTCAGATGTAGGAAAGTGTCTAATGTAGGCCAGTGTCAGATGTAGGAAAGTGTCTGATGTAGGCCAGTGTCAGATGTAGGCCAGTGTCTTATGTAGGCCAGTGTCAGATGTAGGAAAGTGTCTAATGTAGGCCAGTGTCAGATGTAGGCCAGTGTCTAATGTAGGCCAGTGTCAGATGTAGGAAATTGTCTAATGTAGGCCAGTGTCAGATGTAGGAAAGTGTCTAATGTAGGCAAGTGTCAGATGTAGGAAAGTGTCTAATGTAGGCAAGTGTCAGATGTAGGCCAGTGTCAGATGTAGGCCAGTGTCAGATGTAGGCCAGTGTCAGATGTAGGAAAGTGTCTAATGTAGGCCAGTGTCAGATGTAGGAAAGTGTCTAATGTAGGCCAGTGTCAGATGTAGGAAAGTGTCTAATGTAGGCAAGTGTCAGATGTAGGAAAGTGTCTAATGTAGGCAAGTGTCAGATGTAGGCCAGTGTCAGATGTAGGCCAGTGTCAGATGTAGGCCAGTGTCAGATGTAGGAAAGTGTCAGATGTAGGCCAGTGTCAGATGTAGGAAAGTGTCAGATGTAAGGCCAGTGTCAGATGTAGGAAAGTGTCAGATGTAGGAAAGTGTCAGATGTAGGCCAGTGTCAGATGTAGGAAAGTGTCAGATGTAGGCCAGTGTCAGATGTAGGCCAGTGTCAGATGTAGGCCAGTGTCAGATGTAGGAAAATATCAGATGTAGGAAAGTGTCAGATGTAGGCCAGTGTCAGATGTAGGAAAGTGTCAGATGAAGGCCAGTGTCAGATGTAGGCCAGTATCAAATATAGGCCAGTGTCAGATGAAGGTCAGTGTCAGATGTAGGCCAATGTCAGATGTAGGCCAGTGTCAGATGTAGTAAAGTGTCTTATGTAGGCCAGTGTCAGATGTAGGAAAGTGTCTGATGTAGGCCAGTGTCAGATTTAGGAAAGTGTCAGATCATATGTAGGCCAGTGTCAGATGTAGGCCAGTGTCAGATTTAGGAAAGTGTCAGATGTAGGCCAGTGTCAGATGTAGGCCAGTGTCAGATGTAGGCCAGTGTCTTTACCAGATGATTTCCTTGTATGATTTATTTGTAGTGATGGTAACAATTACCGATTTCATTACACAAGTACTCGATCATTCTTCCGACCAAGTAGTCAGTTACTGGGAAGATTTTTTAGGACTTATATAAAATGTGTAGCCATTTTCAATCCATGTTCCATTCCAGTGAAACCATGAAAAAAAATTGCATGGCTGGGAATCACTTGAGACAGAAAAAAGTGGTTAATTACACACAAAAATACTATAGAAAAAACAGTTTATAGCTTAGCTATAAACAGAAATAGGATGATTTATATTACGAAATTGTTAATGATTTATTACAAGGTGAAGGAAATTTATGTGAACAAAGCACAAATTTTACAGATAACACACAAAAAAATACTGTTTTAATGTTGTAAAAACATTTACAATACATGTATAAATTGTGACAATATATGGCTTTCTGAATGAATGATTTATGGGAAACACCAATAAAAACAAGTCCACACACTTTTAGATTGAGTGAGAAACCAGTCTAAAACATTACTCATATGTTCAAGTCTCATAACTCTTCACTACCACTCAAGTATTTAACTCTCCACTACTTCTGAAGTTATACAACTCTTTACTACAAAAAAAGGAAATAACTACCAATTGTATATGATAGTTTGGGGACCTTTCTGTTAAAAATGGGTCAGAGTTAAATCGTATACACATACATGCACAGTGCATTTACCGAGTGCAAGTATTAGTTACCCGCACTCCAGAGCATGCTCAATGATTGGCTCATTTTTTTTGAGGTTTACTTAATGTGACGACAGAGAAAAGGATAACGCTAGAAATGTCATATTCAGATGCCCGATCATGCCCGTCCATTGGTTACTTGTTTAGGAATGTCATGTTGTGTAACAGGGAACATGTTTATGATACAAAAGAGAAAGAACATCAAAACACTCAGCAATCTGATTTATGCAGGGGGGCTATGCCCCCTCGTACTAATCAGATAGCCTTGTGTTTGCGATGCTCTTTCTATTACTAAACATATTCATGTTACTTCAGTGTTATAGTTGTAATTCATTGACCAAGATCCATAACTCTAGCATAAACTTTATTTAGGAGTTATTTTCCCTTTGTTGACATTTATTGAAGTGTTGTTTTTTTTCGTTCAAGCACTGAGAAAGTGGAGTGTGTTGTAAGCATGACAGCTCTTGTTTTACATGAACTTTACATGAAAACATGATATTAAAAAAATATGGTTAATATAATTTATATCAGACCAAACTGATATTGTAGTGATTTATTGCATACAATAAAGCTACCCAACAGTTATCTTATTTAAAGCTCAGTAGGTGCAAATTTGAGTTGTTATTTGTATAAACTGTGATGTGCAAATCTTGATTAAAAGAATTTTAACAAGTTACGCTGTTGCCTGATATTTTACATCTTCAACTTAATTTATATTTTGCTATTTTAACATCCATAACTACATATTTACATAATGCCTTATGTATACATTGAGGATAAAGGAACAGAACTTTTCGGTATTCTGTGTGTACATATCTTTCCCTAAAAATAATGAATGGTTTTGTCCAGATTCTAAGATGGATAAGGCCACATAACATATTCATTCATTCATTCATTCATTTATTGTTACAGCACTAACTAACCAGTCAATTATTATTGCCACTGGCAGTCAAAAGGTTAAGTAATCTTCATGTTTAATTGTTTAAAGTGCTAGTTAATTTATAGCTTGACAGACAGGTTTGGTCAATTATTGATACATGCAGCCCTTATTTTCTTTGATCTATAAGGCAGACAGAGCAATAATTATTAGACTCCCAGAGTTCATTAAATATTCATCACCCCGCAGTACTGTTGAACCATCATTTTTGCTGTGACTTATTTTAGGGAATTTTATTGTTACCTGAATATAAGAAAACAGTTTTTTTTTTTCAAGAAGTAAATATCTCCTTTTTCTCACAATGATTACATTAAATTTTGTTGGAATAAATATTTTCGCTTTCAGAAAAAGTATATTTGGACGGAAATTGCAAAGTTTATTTTTTTGCAAAAATAAAAGATGTTACGGTATCTTATTATTGCTGTGGAACACACACATATAATTATGTTACTGTAAAATAGTAATTGGTATGATTCAATGCAGTGATTTTCACTTTTATCTCTTTCTGAACATTTGAATGTGTGAATAAACTTGTAAATTTTATGAAAAATTTTGGAATTTTTTTACTGTATCATGAAAAAAGTGGAGTCTTATCAATTTAATTCTTAGTCAAATACTTTTGTTCAAATAATACTTTTCTAGTTTTTATTTCTTTGGGTTCATTTAGATAATCTAAAATGCAAAGTGTATTTTCAACGGTTTAGTATGAGGTATCAAAAAGGTGTCGGAAACTTGTTAACGGTTTAGTATGAGGTATCAAAAAGGTGTCGGAAACTTGTTTGAAAATTTTGATTTAATAGGAGACATTATAAAAGTATGTGATTTTTATGTTAGATACATGTAGATTAGTAAAGTTTAAGGTATGAAGGCTTAATATGGATTGTTTTAGAGGTAGAAAACGTAAAAAACCTTTGATTAAAAGAGCACATGCCCAGTACTCCTGGGTAATGAGAAAAGAAAGGTAAATTGTATGTTGTTGTTGTAATGGGTTATAGCAGACATGAATTATGATATCATAATTATCTTTTTAAAGTTATAGAAGTCAGAAGAATTTTCTATATAAATATCATATGTGCAAGTTAAGAAATGCTTCAGATAAAAATGGACAATTTAGTCTAAATCAGATTTTCCCTGACCTGAACTATTCTTGAAGAAATTGGCATTACACATTGAACATGGAGAGGTGAATGGGTTAGGTGTCCTGTAACTGACTTATTTGTAACTGACTCTTATCATTAAGGGCAAAAACTAGTGAAGTATAAGTAATTAATATGTTCTTTTTTAGGAAATAAATATATTGTAATAATGTTAGTATTGTATATATACATGTATATATATAACAGACCCAAAACGGGATGGTTTAACATAGCTTTATTGCATTGATACAGATACGCTCACAATCACAGAGTCAACAATAACTGAAATATAAACATACATGCATAGGCTAACGGGCTTATCAGTACACAGAGGCTCTGATTGGCCACTAAATATATTATTTGAGCCTCGTCATGACAAAACCAACATAATGCGTTTGCGACCAGCATGGATCCAGACCAGCCTGCGCATCTCTGCAGTCTGGTCAGGATCAATGCTGTTCGCTATCAGTTTCTGTACTCGTAATTGTAATAGGGTATGTAAGAGAACTCAGACTGCAGGGATGCGCAGGCTGGTCTGGATCCATGCTGGTCTCAAACGCATTATATTGGTTTTGTAATGACGCGGCTCATTTGTTGTTTTTTTTCCAGACCTTTGATACGTCCCCAGCACCAACAACAATATGATAAACTGGCTCCGAATTCTCCCGGTCAAAAGTTACGGGTGATCAAGCTACGTAGACGGACATCAGAAAGTTTTGGATTTGCTGTGAGAGGAGGTGAATAATTCGTCTAACCCCTTTATTCTAAATTTGTTTTTCTCTTTTGCATTCTGTCACAAGAGAGAACAGACAAGAAAATAAATAATTCGAAAATGCTTTAAGTTTACACTTATTATTTTAGTTTGACTGTGTTGGAAGCTATATGCTGATTGAAACTCTCGCGAATCTGTTCCTGGAACTAACCAGTACTAAGCAATGAATGTAAAGTTTCTTGCCCCTGGAAACAATGGCTTGCCCCTAACAGAGTTTGAATCCACACGGTCAGCATTTCTTAGATTACTAGTCCAACATTTTAACCGCTTGGCTACACCACCACTAAAATGTTTTGTTGATTTACAACACAATTCTCAAAGGAAATGACATGCATAAAAACATTCCCTTTTACTCAGACACAAGAAAGCACTTGCATGAAATACATGTATAACAATTGTGTGTTGAGATATAACATTTCTTACAATAACTTTTGTTATATTTAATTAATTGAGTTTTTCTATATCATGTATTTCAGGGTTTGAACATGGTGTTGGAATATTTGTGTCACATGTGGAGCCCGGCTCACAGGCAGAGATGAGAGGGCTCAAGGTATGTATCTGTTTCATCAACCCTAACTTCTTACACTCATTTTATGACTCAAATATAAAATTATTCAAGTTTCGATGTTTATATATCTTTGACGTGGGCATTTATAAGTATATATAGCATTTACATGTATGTTTAAGAGTTTCGGATGTTTATAAGTTTATACAGCATTTACATGTATAAGTATTTATAGCATTAAAATGACTGTTTATAAGAATATGTAGCATTTACATGTATGTTTATAAGTACAGTCAATAGATATGTAGATACAGTCAAACTTGTATTAAGCAACCGCGCATGGGAAATACCCAAAACGGTCGCTTAATGAAACGGTCTCTTAAGACAATTTTTAGCATGATAAAGTTTAGACTGTATAGCATTTACATGAATGTTTAAGAGTTATGGATGTTTATAAGTTTATACAGCATTTACATGTTTAAGTATTTATAGCATTAAAATGACTGTTTATAAGTATATATATATAGCATTTACATGTATGTTTATATGTTAATATAGCAATTATTTGGATGTTTATAAGTTTATAATTATAGCATTTACATGGATGTTTCTAAGTTTATATGATATTTAAGTGACTGTTGATAAGTTCATATGCAATTAAAATGGATGTTTATCAGCTTTTATGGCATTTAAACTATATGATAAAGGTGGCCTTTGTAATTATGTAGCTTTTGAATAAAAGTTGATCAATTTATGTAGCTGTTAAATGAAAGCTAAGCAATTATATGTTCATTATATTGTAGCTATTAAAGAGTTCTTGGTTAATAATGTAACTTTTGAATGAATTTGATTTAGTTTATGTGTGTTTTTTAATTGTTATTTATTGGCTTAGCTATTATATTTTTGATTTGATGAATACTATTAATGTATATTTAGATGGGGGATGAGATTGTGAGGGTGAATGGATTTACCATCGGTCAAGCCATTCATGAGGAGGTGCTTAACTTGATAAAGGGGCGGGACGAAATAGAACTGAAAGTCACAAGTATGTATTTAATTCAATAATATATTTTCTTTAAAAACTTTTGTATATTTGAACTTATATCTTGATGATATAGACTGGTTTAATTGAGATCCACTGTATAACCAATCTAGATGAAAGTACTATTTAGGTATTATTCATTCATGGAGATATGAATTATAATTAGATTTCAATTTGCTTACATAATTTCATATCACGTTTAAAAGAATTAGCATGTTTTGAAAAAAAAAATACAGAACAGAGAATCATTATACATGTACATATAATTATGTTGGGGGGAAAAAAAGTTTTCAAAGCTAAAACTTGATATATCTTATGTTGCTTGGCAGGGTCCTCATTTCACAATATTTGGGGCAGAAACACGGCGCCATTTCCATTTCCTTCATATTTCTATGTTTTAATAATAGGGCTTTTCTAATAAGTCATGGGCAACAGTGTTTAAATACAAAATACTGTATAAGCTGCTAAAAAAATATTTTATTAATATTTAATATTGCTGAGTGTACATGCAAAATTCTGGCTCCATATCAGTTAATTTGATTACACAGGACAAACTATAAAACAACCTTGTAATGCTATGCGGCCCACAGCCCTACATCATAATTATGTTATGTGACATAATGTCGATGATTCTCCTTTTATAAGTATCATCTCTGCGTGCAATACACTTCTAATGTCTTTCTTATCTATTTTTCTTTTGCAGATATCGGGATGGTGCCCATTAAACAGTAAGTATTATTGTTATATCAACAAATAACGTGTAAAATAGCTTATAAATGTGTCCTGAAATCAGTCAATGTTAAATTTCTGTGATTTCTGTGGCTTATTTTGTTGCTTATTCTCACCATTATGGGTCAGTATTTCAAAAGGAGTCATAGCCTAGTGGTTAGGGTGTGTGCCTATCCTATACCTGTATTTAGGATCCTGGGTTTGAACCCTACTGAGGCCATGACAATGTTTCCTCATATGACACCAGTACTGGTTATGACCAGGAAATGGACTTGAGCATGGTTCAGATCAGACTTTGATAAAGAATTGTTTAAATGAAGGTCTTTGTGCTATTGTTAGACTATACAAACAAATAATTTACAATTTAATGAACAAAATAAATTTGTAACAGATAATCATACAATTTAATGAACAAAATTTATTTGTAACAGATAATCATAAAATTTAATAAACAAAATTAATTTGTTACAGAAAGCCAAGTGATCCAGTGACATGGCAGTATGTAGACAAACCAGGATCTAACAAATCTCAGGTATCAATTAAACATTTTAATTTACTGTTTTGTTGTAATACTGCGAATTCACTTATATTCGTGGGCATGAAATTTCGTGGTTTTATCAAAACCGGCATTTTCGTGGGTTCTTAAATTCGTGGATTTTCGTTTTCTTGTTAAAAAAAAATTCAGTAACCTAATGCAAAGTAATCTTAAACTTAATCGCCGAACATTTTTACTTACAACATGTACATATCTTTACTTGTCACACAGCGGTTGTCAATAAATTTAATCCTTGCCTCTGGGCATAACTAATATAGCACAGTTACTGCCGATAATTGACTGCAATTAACACATTTATGTGACATGATATGCACCTCCATTGAACACACTGCCCCTGTAATTCGCCGATGTAAACATCGCATAATTTATACGACACCTGGCACGTTTTAACCAGCGAGTTTAAAAGTTTACACCCTGAATTGGTCTTAACATATTTTAGGACAGTAACTACACGCAACGTCACAGCGACTGTGTAAATTTACATGCATATAAATTATTCTCGGTAAATAACACGAGCATATGCGGATCTTGTAAAAGTCGGTGGCGTCTTTGATGTTTACGGAATACCATTCGCACAAATACAGATTAAAATTCATGTAAACTGGATCATTTAAAAACGACAAAAGAAAGTAAAATAAATCTGTTTTAGCGATCGTATTTTTATAGTTTTGTGTACTTACGTCATTAATATCAAATACTTTTTTTTTAATTAATAAGAGCAAACTGACAATTTTTATTAGCGCTAATTATTGCACTGCCTGGGTTCCCATATTTACTCGATTATGTCAAGTATTCTTGTTAACACAATCAAGTCCTAGTAGACTACAACGATCAAGTATGTATATGCGACATTTGTGACAGTCAATTTTCTTAATATTGCAAACGGATTTAATGTGTCACTAACCTGGTTATCTGTCTGTAATTACATCCGTTTCACGAAATATCGACCGGAAAAGAGCCGACGCGTGTTTGTAATATATAGAACAGAGACTGGGTAAGAAGTATTTGTTGGGATAAAAGTTCGTTGGATCTTAAATTCGTGGATTGATCTACCCACGAAAACCACGAAAATTTGTGCCCCACGAATAATAATGATTTTACAGTAATTAGGTTTGAGTGCATTGTCGTATAATATTGCTGGTCTCAAGTTTAAATGAGAAAAAAAATACTTATGACATGTTGTAATAGAAAAGAAGTAATGAGAATTTCTTGAAGTATATTCAATTAAGAATAAATTTATTTCACATCATAAGGCTTATGGCAACATACATGACATTTGTCTATGTTCATTGTTCACCTTTAACCTGCTAGTGGCATCTAGTATTATTTACCCTTACCACCAGTGCAGACCAAGATCAGCCAGCACATCGGTGCCCACTGATCATGGTCTGCACTGTTGTGTTATTCAGTCAGAACTTATTTTGAAAAACAATGAATGGTTATATCAAGAATGAAATATGGACAAGTTCATTCCAGATATTTTAAGTGTGGTGGGAGTTGAAAAATGCTGATTTTTAAAAACTTTTTCCTGTATTAAGCATTGATCATATTTTGCGATATTTCTCCTGAAAGGTATCCTGGTAGATTAAGTTGCACATTTTATTTTCTTTAAGTTATTGTCGAACTCTACATATACTTAACACTTCTACGATGTTCAGACGTATCTGCTTTCATCCTAGAAATATAAATTATTGATTATTATATTGATAAATTAACATGTGATTATTTTACAGGCAATAAAGTCCTCTGGCTCTGAAAATGAAAGCGTAGTGAAGATTTTTATCAACCTTCATGGTGCCCCAAGTCTCGGATGCAGGTAAAATCTTTAAAACTTTTTTATTCCTTTTACAAATTTCTAGGCTTTGTTAAGTTGATCTTTGAAAAAAATTATCAGTGGACATAGGCATTTTTGCTATATTAAGGAAAAAATATCAATATAAATACATGTATTCAATGATTTTTAAGGCCTAGTATAGGAAATGTAAGAATAAAAGATGTAAGTGTAAAAGATTTAAAAATAAGAGGATATAAGAATAAAAGATGTAAGAATAAGAGAATGTGAGAATAAGAAATTAAGAATAAAATATTTTAGAATAAGGGATTTAAGAATAAAAGAAGTAAGAATAAAAGATGTAAAAATAAGAAATTAAGAATAAGGGATGTAAGAATAAAAGATGTAAAAATAAGGGATGTAAGAAAAAAATATGTAAGAATAAGGGATGTAAGAATAAAAGATGTAAGAATAAGAAATTAAGAATAAGAGATGTAAGAATGAGGGATATAAGAATGGCTTTGACAGATCTACATCAAGAATTTAATGATAATTGACCGTATTGATCAAATGTGTAATAATCAAATAATTTCACCATTCTTTTCTTACAGCATTACCCGTGGACAGTCTTACTATTCTGCTATTTTATACCATTTTTTATCAAAGCAAGAAAGTCTTAAATTGATTCTAAAAAGCACTTTAACTTTTGACCATTATTGCTTATAATCTGACTGATTAATATAAAGTTACTCTCCCTTTATTCACAGCATCATTAGTGGACCGACTCACTTTCCGGGGATTTTTATCGAGTCTGTGCGGCCAGGAAGTCTAGGTGAGGACTACAATCTTGAAGTTGGGGATCAGATTATGGAAGTGAACGGGAAAAGTTTTGAGAAAATCAAACACAAAGAGGCCATTGTAGAGCTGAAAGGTAGCAAAGAACTCAACATGATTATCAAGAAATCTGTGGTGAGTTAAAATCCCCAAAAATAAACTAGCTGTTTTTAGTTACAAGACATAAATACAAAATATATTTTCAACCCCAAAATATATTCTTGCTATATTTTGACCAGTAAATATTGTTTTGTTTCTTATTAATGGTTAGATAATTGAAATATCACCTACCTATCCCTACATTTCTTTTCACCTCTTTTGACTAAATATTAAAGAAGATACAAAAAACTATGAGAAAATTAAAAAAAAAAATCCCCAAAATAACAACAAAAAACTTTATGCAGACGACCTTTCATGAAAGACCAGATTTAGATTTTCAATACAGTTATTTTGTTCTGTAATTTTACTTGTTCTGATCAACCACTTGGTAACAAATGCAATATTAAGGTCATTGAACTCAAATCTTTTACTTCTAATGGCTGGATTTGTTTCCAACAAGGGATGTTGGATGTTTTCATGTGAGGAAGCTATGCACCTTGGAACATCAATGGCAACTTATCAGTTTTGACTAGTGCAAGAAGACATCATGAGTCCGTCCCTCTGTGCATTATTTTGCCAATTATTTTAGGCATTAACTGGCATCATCTTCTTGCACTAGTAAAACTGAAAAGTTGCTATATGTCGTTAACAGTGTTGGTGCAGCATAAAGCCCAACAACAAAAAATGAGATATGGGATGTTGTCATGTTAATTAATCATCAATGTGTATTGACAGGGTTTACCATTACTTAACCTGAAGAAGAAGAATGTGGAAGGTAGTCCAGTTCCTGTAAGGAAAGAGACAAGTAACGAGCAGGAACCCATACAGCTGGAGGACAGGTATGACTTTCCTGATGTCAAGGTCATTAATGAAGGTCACAGTGTGAAGGATGATAGTGATGACCAAGAGGTCAAGGTCACTGATGAAAGTCATATGTTTATGAACACTCATGAAAAACAATCTGATTTTGGGCACAGTTTAAGTAGATCAGGAGTTACTGAACCTGAGCCTAGTAACACGTATAATAACCCAATTTTTAATGATGAGTTGAATGAGTTGATGAACTTTGATGAATCTTTGAAGAATTTCGATGATGATGTGATAAATTTAGCACCCAATGATAAAGTTGAATTCACAGTAAAGTCTGAGGTCAAAGGTCAAGGTCTTAAAAATTATCCAGATGACCTAGAAAAGAAAAATCTCGGGTTAGAACCAGAGTTGCATGGAGTATTAGGCGGGTTAAAAAAGAAAAATGAGAAAAAAGCTGTAAAATTCGCTGATCTCGAACCAGAAGAATTTGATGATTATAATGATGATGATGGTGGTGATGATGAATTTGATGAATATGATGATGATGCAGGATTAGATCAGATGATTACAGTGTCTTTTGATCATGAATATTATTGAAATATTGGTAAAGAAAAAAGAAGAAGTCATTGACTTGTGTTTATAGAATTTATATTTTCAAGTACATTTGTAGTTATTTTAAAGTAGGAACTTTTTTTTACAAAAAATATATTTAATTTATTTATAAATTTATTTATAGCATACTGTGAATTCACCAATTTCATTGGAATGAAATTTTGTCAAAAAGGACATATTCATAGGCTCTTGAATTTGTGGCTTGCCTGATTTTACAAATAAAAAAGTACATTGCAACTAATGAAATGCAAATTAGTCTTTACAGCATTAAAATGAATTCTTGTTGGACCATAAATTCATGGATTTGACCTGTCCACAAAAATTAATGCCCGACAAATAATAATGACTTTGCAGTAACATTAATATCGTTGCTCAAATAATGATTGGAGCCAGAAAAAGAGGAATTTTTACAGGCTGGCTACAAAGGTTCTGGTAAATTACTGTACCAAACATATTCATCCCTTTATGAAACAGATCTAAATATAGAAATTGTTGACAAAATTGATATAGTAGGTTCGTTTTATATTAATTTTTGATTTTTAATTCAAAGAGTTATGCTATTCCTAAAACACAGTGTCAATACATCGGAAAACCTGTGTATTTATTTATTTAACACTGTATATCACAGTTATTTTGTGTAAATTTATATTTGAACATATGCCATTGTTTTAATACTGTGCAGATCCACCTTAGAAACTATATTTAGATTTTTGGCATGTTGAATTAGCATGGTAAATCCTTATTGAAATCTATATTAAGATATAGCATCTTACATTTATATGGTATTAATTTTTTGTAATTTTGTATTTAGATATGTTTTTTGTGTGTGAAGTTTTTCATATATATATATGTGTGTAATATAATATAAATATGATTTATTTTATAGTGGAGAAGTTATTTGGTAAGAAAATATTGTTGAACTTTTGTCAAATTGCAAACTTAATTGAATTATGATATCACCTTGGACATAGTTAGGGCACTGATATTCCATTGTTAACAATCATTTACTTTTTAATTAATTTGGTTTTATGGTGCAACAACGCAGTTTAGGTCATATTGAGCCGAAACAGGGAAGATGTTTTCGGCTAACCTCAGGTGTTACAAACTTTAAAGCAACACCAGGGGTCAAAACCATCTCATCTGCTGGAGCTTAGAGATGCATAGACTCTAGTAATTCAAAACCCAATTAGTCGCCTGTTACAATCACACAGGTTTAAACAGTGGCTTTAATTCTGATGCCTCAACCCAAAAGGGTAACCCCTTAGCCACAAGGGGTGATTACATGTACAAGTAATATTTCAAGTTTAGTGAAATCATTTTTGGTGCTTTGATAAAATATCTATTTTCTATATACAGTCCATTTACTATCCATAAGATTCAATTAAGTTTGCAATAATTTTCCCCATATTTATTTTCTTTATATGTTCATTACATGTCTAACAATGTGTTTGCCATAACATTTGTTCAAAGACAACCTCTTCAGTTTTGCTTGAGAAAGTGAGATGGGGACATTTTTAAAGGGGTCTAAGTTTATAATGGTGAGATAATGTAACAACATACATGTCCTTACTGAATGAAGAAAACCAAAGATGGAAAAAGCAATTTATAACTTTTTGGCCTTTATTTTTACTGGAAATAAGGGAGGTAATCCAAATGAAGGAAAGAGATTGTTTTTGGACAGAATTGTTTCCCTTGCTTTTAAGTCTAAATAAACATATCTTTTATATTGGTTTTAATACTTGCACAACCCTACAGTTTTACTTCATTTCACCAATTCAGAAGTTGAAAGTTAATTGATTATTTACGTTTAGTGTAATTGGGATATTTGTCACAGTGGTTGTCTTGTGTTTACACCCGTATTATTGTTTACTAACAAAAAATGTTGCTTTGTGTCCCTTTTTAAGAATTTGTAACAAAATAGTTTTCTTTCAACAGCTTTAATCAGCAAAAAAAATTCCATCTATAAAGACCATTTGTTAGAATTAACAAAACATTTTTAATGTGGTTTTTGAGTACTTTTCCAAAAATGAACTCTTCCTTTTAAAATGGGGAACAGTCCATGTTACAAGATTTAATTACTTCACCATAGTTTCAAAGGAGCTTTACTAAGATCCAAAAAGCCTGAAAATCGTAAAATTTTAAAATTCAGATCATAAAATGGAAAACTTGGTTACTTGAAAAAATAAAATAAAAAAAGTTACTTGGAATTAAATTGAAAAGCAATATCTAGAGTAATTTTTAGCCTGAATTTGAGTTAAAAGTGTTAAACAATATTTTTTTTGGTCAAGACCTACGTGAAATGGTATGAAAACCTTGAAAAACTATCTCACAGAAGTTTCTTTGATCAGAAATAAGTTAATGATGTTAAATGTGTCCATGCAAATGTACACTGATATTAATATCTGACTGTAAACATTATTTCTTTACACAGGTGGTCTTTATAGACAAGTTTTACTATAATGTAAAAAAATCACAATTAACTGCACATATTTTTAACACTTTGCTCTTTCTATTACTTTGTTTCTTGTTTTCTAACTAACTAAAGTTCTGCTGCAAATCCCTCATATTGCAATATCTCTGCAAATCTTTTAAATTGCAAAAACTCTACAAATATTTTATGTTGCAATATCTCTGCAGATCTTTCATATTGCAATATCTCTGCAGATCTTTCATATTGCAATATCTCTGCAAAATGTTAATATTGCAATACCTCTATAAATCTTTCACATTGCAATATCTTGGAATCTTATCTATTGCAATACCTCTGTGAATCTTTTTATTTTCCAATACTTTTGCAATTCTTTCATTATCATCTTTCATATTGCAATATCCCTGCCAAATGGTTCTATTGTAATACCCTTACAAATCTGTCATACTGCAATATCTGCAAAACCTTTTATATTGCAATACCTTTGCAATTCTTTCAGTTACAACATCTCTGCAAATATTTCATATTGTAATATCTCTGCAAATCCTTTTATATTGCAATATATGTGAAAATCTTTCATTTTATACACTATACACGTATGTTCCTATTTATCTATATAACCAAGAGCTTTTATCTAGCTTCTCAACTTTATGATATCTGCATGGCATGCTGTTCAGAAATTTGAAAAATTTTGAAGTTTATTTTTATTTCTACAAGTTGAAATCTTCACATAAGGTTATTGTAAGTTTTATAACAGTAGCTGATACTTATATGTAAGTATATTTTCTATTCTATAAATACTGTGTTAATCACACAGTAAAAATATAAGATAAATACTGAAAAATTATTCATTTATTGCATATAACATGTAAATTTTTTCTTGAATTGTGAATATATTTAATTTTCTTTACAACCTTAAAGTACATTTTCCACAAAGTTGATTTTCTTGAAATATTTTGGTTCATCTGGAGGCATGCAGCTTTAAGGAAATAAAATATGTATTTCAAGAATAAAAAAGGATAGTTCATATTTTTTGGCATAAAGTCTGATTTTGTTTTTGTGAATTCTTTCTGTGGCAATTTTTTTCTGCCCTATAAGCATGAGTCTAGGGGTAAAATAACAACAGGCTTCTGTAGATCTATTTCTTCTTTAATTTTTGTTCTGCTAAATCATGAGTTAAAATCTGTTCAAATTTGTGTAACAGTGAAATACTGGAGGAAGATTTGTACGCCAAGGTTGAGAAGAAACATTGGGCTGAGGAACAAGAAAAATTAAGGAAAGAAAAAGGTAAATGTTATGTTTTAATTTGTGTATCTCTTCTGATTTTACGTTGTTCAAAAAAAAAAAGTTTTTTAAAACTTTTCTTCTGGGGGAATTGTTTATACAGTCAGCCCCGTTTCACTTTTTTTAAAAAATTTTTTTACACTTCATTTTTTTTTAAAGGCACCCCTTAAAACCCTAGAAATGGAAACCACTAAAAAAATATTTTTTGTAGAAGCAGCCCTTAAAAAGTTTAGGGTAATGTTTAAATTTTTGGGCATAAGTTGCATAAAGTAATTTGTGACATAAGAAGCATAAAGTTATTTGTATCATAAGTAGCATAATGTTATTTGTGAAATAAGTAGCATAAAGTTATTTGTGACATAAGTAGCATAATATTATTTGTGACATAAGTAGCATACTGATATTTGTGACATAAGTAGCATAATGTTATTTATGACATAAGTAGCATGTTATTTGTGACATAAGTAGCATAATGTTATTTTTGACATTAGTAGCATAATGTTATTTTTTTTAGTAATATTTTGACTTCCATACAAAATACTAAATCACTTTATTTGTACTAATAACCAAAAAGGCAAAAGAATCAAAAGATAATTTAGATATGTGGTTTGAAAACTGTTACAGGGCACAAAAAACAAAAGCTTAATATTATTTATAAAGCTTATTTGGCCTTTAACATGTAACATTTATCATAGCTGGTCAATTTTAAGAAATATCTTTTTCTGAAGTTATTATTGTAAAATGATTTTATGTAATTATTTTTATCTCTTGAATCATTATTTACTTGAAGCGCATGATTCTGGGACAAAATTGTAGGTCAACAACAAAAACCCATAACTCTAGCATTGATTTCTACTGAATTGCATTATGATTGAATTATACCTATTGTTAAACTGAAAAATTCTAAGGTAGAGGTTTGGATGCCAGTTCAAGTTGAACAACTATTAAAGGTTTTCTTTTGAAAGAGACCACACATGCTGTGGGGGGTCAAAACTACTATAAAAAAAATACATTCCTTAAGTGTGGAATTTTCAAAGATAATTTCGTGTTATGAATTTATGTTTGATTACAATATGCAAAATTTCTTTAGTTGTTTTACTTTTTTGTGACATGTATGGTCATTATTTTACTATCAATCCCTTAGTATATTGTATACATTGTACTAGTACAATCATGTATTGTGTGCCAAACATTTTAATTTTAATATACAAGTACCAGTAATAGATTTGTTTTTTGACTGTTATAGCTGAAGAGGCTGTGAGAGAACAGCTTCGTCAACAGAAGAAACTGGAGGAGGAGCAACAGGAGAGGGAGGAGCAAGAGAGAAGGTGGGAGGAGCAAGAGAGAAGGAGGCGGGAGGAAGAAGAAAGAATGAGAGAAGGTAAATTGTCAAAGATTGGTCAAGAGTTTAAGATAGCTTTAGTTTGTTGGATCATTCTGAGGGTTGAATCCTTTACCCTTTGGCTGCTGGTGGAAACTAATTTTACCTTTGGAACCAATGCAGATCAAGATAAGTCGGGACATCAGGTGCCCCTGGGGCCGAGTTATAAAAATGCTGCTCACACATGCTCCTCACCACTGTTGGTTCGAAACCTGTCAGGGACTTTGGATTCTTACATTTGAGAAAGCTATTCAATTTGCTTATGGAAGATTTATGGTTCTACATTTGAGTGCCCACTCATTCCTGAAATAATGCACTAAGTACCACCTGAGGTCTTCCTTCTCCAGTAAAGCTGGAAAGTCACTGTATGACCTTAAAAATGTCGGAATCACTGAATTTTAAACAAAACAAACAAGGGTATATACAGTTGGCTACTCAATTTTGTTAGTTTTATATAGCAATCCCGCAAACTTTTAAATCCTTAATTCATTGTACACCCAGTACACAAATTCAGATTGGTAAGTGTTAAAATACTGACAGAATGATTTTGTTACAAAATTTTCTGTGGTTCTTTTTTAACAGAGGAACATATGCGTGAATTAGAGGAGCTTAGAATACAAGAAGAGGAAAAACATAGGGCTGAACAGAGAAAGAATGAGGAAAAAAGAAAGAAAGAAGAGGCTGTAAGAAAACAAAAGGAGTTGGAAGAAAGGAAAAGACAAGAAATTGCTGCAAAGAAACAACAGGTATATTTTTTTTTAATTTCATAATTTTGTTGTGAATAATAAATATTATATGTACATGCAAACTGCAAAATTATGGAATATAATAGAGATATTATAGTAGACCTTGATCTGGAAATAGAGATTTCACTCAGATGAATTTTACTGGACAAGGATCTCATGAGGGGTGGTAGTGTAGGGTCTCATGAGGGGTGGTAGTGTAGGGTCTCATGAGGGGTGGTAGTGTAGGATCTCATGAGGGGTGGTAGTGTAGGGTCTCATGAGGGGTGGTAGTGTAGGGTCTCATGAGGGGTGGTAGTGTAGGGTCTCATGAGGGGTGGTAGTGTAGGGTCTCATGAGGGGTGGTAGTGTAGGGTCTCATGAGGGGTGGTAGTATAGGATATCTCATGAGGAGTGGTAGTGTAGGATCTCATGAGGAGTGGTAGTATAGGATATCTCATGAGGAGTGGTAGTGTAGGATATCTTATGAGGAGTGGTAGTGTATAGGATATCTCATCAGGAGTGGTAGTGTAGGATCTCATGAGGGTGGTAGTATAGGATATCTCATGAGGAGTGGTAGTGTAGGATATCTTATGAGGAGTGGTAGTATAGGATATCTCATGAGGAATGGTAGTATAGGATATCTCATCAGGTGTGGTAGTATAGGATATCTCATGAGGAGTGGTAGTATAGGATATCTCATGAGGAATGGTAGTATAGGATATCTCATCAGGAGTGGTAGTATAGGATATCTCATGAGGAGTGGTAGGATAGGATATCTCATGAGGAGTGGTAGTGTAGGATATCTCATGAGGAGTGGTAGTGTAGGATCTCACAAGGGGTATTCATGTAGGATCTCATGAGGGGTGGTAGTATAGGATTTTATTAGGGGTTGTAGCATAGGATCTCACAAGGGGTGGTAGCTTAGGATCTCATAAAGGGTTGATAATGCTGAGAGTAATCTCTTCTAGTAAAACCCATGAGAGCCAAATACTAGTAATAGATCAATGCTTGGCTAATATTTTTTATCTATCTCTGTTTTTTTGGACCAGAGCCAGTTAGAAGTACCAACTTTCATATTGTTTTTGCCCAATTAAATTGTTACATTGTTACTTTGTTCCAAAACATGTATTTTTGTGGGTTTTAAATGTTCTTTTCTTTTAGATATTAATTCCTGAGAATGTTGAAACAGCTTATTACAACAATATTGTAAAATTTATATGTTTGAAGTTATACATTTTCATCTAAACTATTAAAATTAGGTAGAGCTATTGTACACATCCTGGTGTCGGCATCGTACTTTGGTTAAGTTTTTGCTTAAAAGTTGATATCTCCAAAACTACTGAAGAAAATCGGTTGAAACTTCACACACTTATTTGAGAGCGTAATAGGAGGTCACTGTCCAAGGCCCATAACTCTAACATGGATTTTGAAAGAATTATAGCCTTTTCTGTATCTAAAAAAATTCTACATTATCCAGGCTCTTGTTTTTCTATCAAGCACTGAGAATAGTTAAGCACGCTGTCCTACAGTCAGCTTTTGTGTATACAATATGTAACAAAGTAAATCTAGCAGTTGATTATGATGATGATTAAAATCTATATGTAATCAAATTTTATGTGTATTTTTGTTTTGGAAAACTGTTTCAGTCAGTTGTTAATGTATGTTGATGAAGTTTTAATCTTGCTCTCTCATCAGTATTCCACCCATTGTGCCTTGTCAAATAATCAGATATCCCTTAATATATATATATAAAAAACACCTGTGTCAGTTGAACACCTTTTACCTATTGTGCTGTCAAGGTTAACTCAGTGTTGATAAATGCTTGCTAAATGTAGGTGTTCAAAAACACAGGCTTTGATCATAGATTCCAGCACTAATAAGTGTTGAAAATTGAGTACTGCTCAAGCCAGTGCTAGGTGACGTGAGGGATGTTGCACTTTTTCATTATCCCTCATGTCCCGAGGGTTTGATGTGAAATGGTTGTAACTCATATTAAATAAAGGAGTAACGACCTTTTCACACCAAGCTGTCATATTGACTGTATTTGTTGCCGTCAGAGTAACTTCCCTTTGAACTATATACACCATTTGTAATCAGGGGAGGTGACTCAATCAAACCAAGTCTACAATTTTAATGTCTTAATTTTTGCTTTTTTTAATGATTTTCCGGGGTTCACTTTTTTCCAGATATTTTATACAAGTATACCAAACTAAATAACTGAAAATGATTACTGATTCACCTCCGATATATAAACATAGGTTCCCATGGCAAAGAAACGCCGAGAGAAAGAAAAAGATTTTTATCGTCAAGTTCAGTATCATAAAAACCAGCTATCTGATGACAGTTTAGAAAATTATTTAACATTGAGCCAAAGTGATTCAAAAGATAGTGAACTGAATTTAGTGGTAAATTTATCAAAATACATGTATCACGTTTTTGTTTTAAATTTTTTGTTCTAGAGCACATTCAATTTTGTGGGTTTTTTAATTCAATTTTGTGTCCTTGGTTCTGTTTTAAAATCAATTGTTTTAATTTTGATCACCCACTTTATAGTCAAGAGAATGATTATCTTTTTGTGATTTTAAAGTTACGATATTGTATACAAGTTTCAAATGGAAATCAAACAATAATGTTATATGTATGAATAGAAGTAATACAAAAGATAAAACATACATTGAAGAGGGTTAATTTTTGTTTTTTCAGAATACACAATATACATGGGAAACTTGTTAGGTATATTTACAAATGTGTGTCATAATAACTAACTATACTAATTCTACTGATTATAACATGTGTGTTGCATACTATAAAAACAAAAATCATAAGAATAGAAAATATACATGCATTGTTTTTAGCTCACCTGTCACAAAGTGACAGGGTGAGCTTTCGTGATCACTTTTCGTCCGGTGTCCATCCGTCCTTCGTCCGTCCGTAAACTTTTACTTTAAATGACATCTCCTCATAAACCACTAAACCAATTTCATCCAAACTTCACAGGAATGTTCCTTTAGTGGTCACCTTTAAAAATTGTTCAAAGAATTTAATTCCATGCAGAACTCTGGTTGCCATGGCAACCGAAAGAAAAAACTTTAAATATCTTCTTTTAAAAAACCCAAAGAGCTAGAGCTTAGATATTTGGCATGAAACATTTTCTTATGAGTGTCTACAAAGTTTGTTCAAATAAATGCCCTGGGGTCAAAATTGGCCCCGCCCCAGGGGTTCATTGATTCAGGGGTTCATTCATGTCAGCAAATAGGGCCATCTTAGCCAAATTATTATCTACAAGGGCAGATGATTTTATCTAACACCCACCCAGCATATATATAAATTTGCCTTGATGTTTGAACAGTCCACTAGTATTTAAAAGGGTTTCAAAATGAAAAAAAAAAATAGGAACTGAACACTTATTGTAGTGTGCCCTCTATGAATTAATATCTTTTATATGATTATATTTGGTAGTTTGGTAAACTATTCAGAGATAGGGTAAGAAAATTCACATTTTGTACAAAATGCTAAAAAAAATAACCGTATGCAGTCCACCAGCTTGATTCCTTTTCATTGTATAGAAAAAATAATAATATGTGCTCTTAGTTTTGTACTGTACCTAACAAATTGAGAATGAGGCAAAAAATTCCATAAAGAAATTTCAAGTTTGAAAATTGGAGAAAATGGTAACCAGTCTTGATCTCTAGCATCTGATTGGTTCATTCTTGTTGCAGATTCGAAATTAACCAATAGTATTGCAATATTTCCAGACTGGTTCCCCAACTTCTGTATTTCCCTAAAATGAAATACTTTAATTGTTATAATAATATCATATTTTTCCACCATGTCTTTACCTTTGATTTCTTACCAATAATTTTTATTATGCACACACAATTGCAGAGCACTTTTCATTATTATATGTTACTTTTAATAGTTAAGACTTTAAATGATTCCTGTTTAAGCACTATTTTAGTTATTAAGTATAGACATTTTTTTTTTCTTTTAACGATAAAAATTTAGAATATCTTAATTAGTACTATAATAATTTCTATGTAAATTTAAATATTTCAACTACATGTGTTCATTATATTCTTAATGCTTACAAGCAAAGAGTTAATTTAGAATAGTGTCAAGTTTTTTGGCTTTATGTTTTTTTCAATCAAAAGTTACAAATTAACTCTCATTTATTTGCGGATGACCCTTGTAGCATGTAACATAGAAGAAATGCTGTAAAACTCACATCTTTCAATGTTATTGGTCTATTAATTAAATTATTCATAGAGAATTTTTTGTTTTTGTTTTCCAGTCAGCAGTATTGGCAGGCAGATCCGGACCGTCAAACTCCATGAAACCAACACTTCTAGGTGCTGCACCTGGTGCTCAGGTAGATAAAAACATAAATAATAACATCTTAACTTCATGCTATAATTTACCCTTTGTAATATGTATAAGTTTTAATGGGTACTTAAAGCTGATAGTCTTCTCAAGAAAAGCTGATTTCAATCTCAGCCCTTACCATCCTTAGTAAATATGAGCCGCGTCACGACAAAACCAACATGGTGTGTTTGCGACCAGCATGGATCCAAACCAGCCTGTGCATCCGCGCAGTCTGATCAGGATCCATGCTGTTTGTTTACCAACTCTATTACAAGTAGAGAAACTGATAGCGAACAGCATGGATCCTGATCAGACTGTGCGGATGCGCAGGCTGGTCTGGATCCATGCTGGTCGCAAACCCACTATGTTGGTTTTGTCGTGACGCGGCTCATATATTAAATGGACTCGTCCATCTTGCAATCTGGACAAACCCATTTATCATTTTTAGGGAAGATGTCAAAATATGTACTGTATTGAAAACTCTATATCAAAGACTATTCTTATATTTATTTACATTAGTATTGACAGAGGTCATGCTATAATGCATGTACAATCTAAAGTGTCTGTCTGTATAAAAGGTGTCAGAGAGAGTTCTTAGATTGTGCATATTTAATTAAGAAGGCGGAGCTAATCTCTAAGTACTAACAATACTACAATGACCAACAGTGCAGACTATGATCAGACAGTATGGATGTGCTGGCTGATCTTGGTCTGCACTTTTAGCATGGGTAGTTTATAAGCATTCAACACCAGCAGACATAGGGTTAATTCACTTCTTGCACATGTAAAATTGTGTAAGAAAATTAAAAAGGAGGTCCTTTTAGAGAAATTTTGATGGAAAAGATCATGATCTTTGCTGACCCGGATTAATTTCATTTACGTGATGTTTGTAGTTCTTTGTAGAAAAAGCAGTTTGGTTCTGGTATATATACCTAAATAGGTTACTAGTCTCAGGTTTACAACTCAAATACTGATATTGACACTTAAAGAAGCAAACGGAAATGGGAGAGTGGGCCTTGTGGTTAAGAATTGCCAGCCTCTCAGCCTTGAGGTTGTGGGTTCAAACTCTACAGAGAGCAAGACTATGTTTTCTCATAAGAATAAATATGTACTGGTTAGTTTCAGAATTGATACTCTAGTTAAACAATTTAGCGTCACACAAGTAAAGCTTAAGTTTAAAGTTAAACTAAATGTATTGAAAATTTTATCTTGAGCAGCTACATTTCTTATTTGTAACTGTATAATGTCAACATATTTTCTTCCAGACATCATTTGGCAGTAGCGGGAACACCAAAGAGGTTGAAGTGATACTGGAGGATGGCACCCCACTAGACATAGAATTAGAGGGAGGAACTGGCTCCCCTCTGGGAGGGAAAATTGTCATATGCGAGGTTTACCCTGGAGGTTCTGTTGATAAATCGGGTAAGTTTTACAAGTATTGTTGTGTTGTAAATTATAGGTTTATAGATGTTGTTTAAACATATATTCTTGTTTCTGGATAGATATTATTACTTGAGAACTATTAAAGGGACTCCACTGAGGGTTTTTTGACATGATGGACTAGAATTTTTTTTGTCGATTTATTAACCAATTGAGGTATGTCTTGACTACTTGTGCGCATATATTCAGGTCATAATCATTTGTATTGTACATGATGAACCAAAAAAATAAAAAGCGTTCTTAAAATGAGCCGCGTCATAACAAAACCAACGTTATGCGTTTGCGACCAGCATGAATCCAGACCAGCCTGCGCATCCGCGCAGTCTGATCAGGATCCATGCTGTTCGCTATCAGTATCTCTACTTGAAAAAGGGATTTGTAAGCGAACAGTATGGATCCTGATCAGACTGCGCAGCTGAACAGGCTGGTCTGGATCCGTGCTGGTCGCAAACGCATTATGCTGGTTTTGTAGTGACTTGGCTCAAATGATTTTCACTTCTTATTTGGCTGAGAATCCCACAAAACAAGAGGGCCATGATGGCCCTAATATCGCTCACCTGAATATAAATACTCTCCATGACAAGGAACAAGTAATATTGTAAACTATAAACAAAAGCAGATATAAAATCTAATATCACAAAGTTCATATTCGTGTCTGTAATAGTGCACATGTAAAAACATTACTGGTTTCTTTTGCTAATGAGCTTGACTGACTGTTAAGATTATGCAACTCGGACTGATACCTTACACATGTTTTTCCATCGGAAAACCTGGTTATTAGATAGAGGTATGTCGGCGGGCGGGCGATTGGGCGGGCAACTCCTCCTACGTTTTTCAATGGATTTTGACCAAAATTTCACAGAAGCTTTGTCATCAAGTGACCTGGTGCATATTGTGGGGGTTTTGTGATTGGATAATATTTGACCTAATTATGGCCCTTTGTTTTTTTTTCCAATATAGGATATATAGTGAACAATTTCTTCTGTGCCCAACTGTTCCTACATTTTTCAATGGATTTTGACCAAACTTTCACAGAAGCTTTGTCATCAAGTGACCTGGCGCATATTGTCGGGGTTTTGTGATTGGATAATATTTGACCTAATTATGGCCCTTTGTTTTTTTTTTCCAATATAGGATATATAGTGAACAATTTTCTGTGAACAATTCCTCATACATTTCTCAACGGAATTTGACCAAACTTTCACAGAGGCTTTGTCATCAAGTGCCTTGGGGCATATTTTCAGGGTTTTGTGATTGTATAATATTTGACCTAATAATGGCCCTTTGTTTTTTTCCTTATACAGATTATATATAGTGAACAATTTTTATCATGCGCAACTTCTCCTACATTTCTCAACAGATTTTGACCAAACTTTCACAGAAGCTTTGTTATCAAGTGCCCTGGCACACATTATCAGGGTTTTGTGATTAGATAATATTTGACCTAATTATGGCCCTTTGTTTTTTTTTCCTTTTACAGAATATATAGTGGAAAAATTCTTCTGTGCTGAACTCCTACATTTCTCAACGGATTTTGTTCAAACTTTCTCAGTAGCTTTGCCATCCAGTGCCCTGGCGCATATTGTTGGGTTTTTTTTATTGAATAATTTTTTATTTAATTATGGCCCTTTGTTTTTTTCCTTATACAGAATATAATTATAGAGAACACTTCCTCTGTGGCAATTCCTCCTACATTATTCATGTTTTACATTGCACATAGTTACATTGTTTGTAACTTGTACATGTTGTATTTGTATTTCCAATACAACATATTTATCTACAATGGTGATAATTGAAAACCTGGTTTCATGGCATTGCCATGTTTCTTGTTTCCATCTGCAATACCGACCGACATGCCCAAACATTCTTTCCAGGTTTTTTTACAGGCAAATTTGGAATGAAATTTTAGACAAACATCGGTTTCTTTTTCAATTTTGTATAATACTAATAATGAGATTATCCCAAACTGGTGAAATATTAAATACATTGACTCCAGCAAAATCCAATGCATATATATAGGCATGTAGCCTATGTTAAGCCCTTTACCTCATTTAGACGTGTTTGATGGCTTTTTACACCCCCCCCCTGTTTGGAGGCCTCAAACAGTGTAAATTACACAATATCCTCATGAAGTAAAGGGTTAATACAATAGTACTATGCTAAATATACTGCAATTATTTGTAAAGATGATTGGGTTAAGGAAGATTTATAAATTTATCATTTATTATGCTCCCTGAAAACATTTGGGTAAGCATATAGTCGCCGGGTTGTCCGTCAGTCCGTATGTACGTCCCGAATTTTTATCCGGCCCATAACTTCGTGAATTGAAGTTGGATTTTACAAGTATTTCACAGCAATGATCACCATATTGAGACGATGTGTGGCACGCAACAATTGGGTCGCTACCTTGATGGTCAAGGTCACAGTCACATCATGACCTTGCAGCAAAATCGTGTTCAGCCCAGAACTACTTATTTGAAGTCGTATTTTACAACTATTTCACAGAAATGATCACCATCTTGAGATGATGTGTCGTGTGAAAATTTGGGTGGCTACCTTGTTTTTACACTTTGAACTTTGTCTGTGACATAACTCTGACACTACAAGAGGTATACCTTCCTGTGTCCAAAACCTATTTGGGGAGCATCACCCGGTTCAATCGGCTCTTGTTAGATAAATATTTTCTTCATATCTTAATTTACCATAAATTAAAAAAATATTATAATTAAAAAATCTTATTTATTTTCTTGTTATGAATGCAAAACTTTGTACTCTTTGTACTTTGATAATTGCAGCCCACTTCTAGGATTTCATTTAGTCAATATATGAGCCGCGTCACAACAAAACTAACATAGTACGTTTGTGTCCAGCATGAATCCAGACCAGCCTGCGCATCTGCGCAGTCTGATCAGGATTCATGCTGTTCGCTTACAAACCCTATAACAAGTAGAGAAACTGATAGCAAACAGCATGGATCCTGATCAGACTGCGCGGATGCGCATGTTAGTCTGGATTCATGCTGGTCGCAAACACACTATATTGGTTTTGTCGTAACTCGGCTCATATTTGCAGACTACACAGAAAAGGTTGGACAATATCTCTTTGACATTGCTTACTACTGGTACTTGCTTATATTCAAAATGAAAAAGGTCTGCAAAAACTGCTATGAAATTTTTAATGAATGTGAGAAAGGTGTTAAATTTCAGGCCAATATTCCAGTTAATAAGTAAAGTTAAGGACCAAAACGAAAGTATGGTACTGCTGGAAAATTAGGTACCTATAACTGTGTTTTGTCAAAGTTGGGTACAGATTCGTATCTAATTTGTAAATAAATTGACTTTTGTATTGGAAAATATATTTTCAAAAGATAAAATAAAAGTACATAAATATTTTAACTTGCATAATTTCTAAAATCTAAATTTAAAGAGGTGATTTTGTACTCTTTCCTATATTTGTATAAGTCTTCCTTTGATAATGAGGTCTAATTAGGACTTTCAATGGACAAGCCCTCACATAAGTCGCATAAGAAATAGCAAAAAATACTCATAGCCAATCAAAGCCAATAAATTGAATTCTGACAAATAAATAATTTTGATATTGCAACAGCTCCTTTTTAAATGTGTCCTAAATACAACAACAAAAGATTAATATATACATGTATGAAGATTAAGTTAGTTTTTTAACAGTTGAATATTTTCTTTGTGTTTTATTGATTTAAATGTAAAACCAGCCGTATGTAAACACTTTATATACCTTAAAGTTTAACAATTTAGTATTGAATATGAATAAACTTTAGATAATGTTTCACCAGATAAAGTTACACTGTGTGCAAAGAGGTATAAAGGCACCTTTGATAAGTTAAACCCAAAGTAGGTCAAATCATTTAGACATAATTTAGCAATAGAGAGGATTTATATCAATGAAAAAAATATTATGTAGAAATTGATATTTTTCCAGGAGTACAATGTAGAAGATTCGTAAGGCTTTCAGTTATCTTAATTATAGAGTACATCAATGTTTAAATTTAAAATAACTGTGAAAGAAATAGAGACAATTTATTTTATCGATTTTACAATGTAAATAGATCAACTAACAAACGTAGTCAGGGAAAAAGACAAAATGGCTACAGGTCGACAAATTGATACAGATATTCTTTCGGATGAAATATTTGATGTATTATGTTCAATGTGTAGAAATGAAGGCAGGAACACTGAAGGTGAAAAATACTGTGTAGATTGTCACGATTATTTCTGTGTTAGTTGTGTCAAAGTTCACAGTAAAGTGCCTTTATGTGCTGGTCACAAAGTATTGGATAAATCTCAAGTTAAGTCAGGAACCAGCAAAAGGCTGCCGAGGGCAGGGGCAGAGAGATGTGACAGACACAGCCATAAACACATTAAGAACCATGATAATGTTGGCTGTTCTACATGTATGGCAGTTGATCACAGGTAAAATATAGTATTTAAACAAAGATATTTTTAAAGTAAGTATATGGAATGTTTAGTAAGTACTTTACATAATATTCTTAGACTATCTTAAATATTAATACTCTTAGACTATCTTAAATATATAACACTAAATAATATATCATCTCCTGCGTCATCTCATAGCCTCATAAACTGTTTGAACTTATTTTTCAGGTCATGTAAGAACACATTCTACATACCAGAATTGATCCAAAACAATAATTACCAAGTTGAATCGAGAGAGATTCAAACAAAACTTAAGGAAATAGCCAAGACCCTTGAAAAACAAGCAGATAGATTTAAACAGGATAAACAAAGGCTGTTAAAGAGGAAAGCAGAAATACTGGCTGATATCAGAAAATTCAGACAAGAAATCAATGACCAACTTGACAAGCTGGAGAAAAGTTCTATTGATGAGATAGAAAGTAAAGTCAAATGTCTTGAAGACAAATTAGAAGATGGCATAAAACAGCTACAAGCAACCAAGTCCAGGATTAGATCAGCTAATGATAAGTT